ATAATCTGACTGACAAATGGCATCACGATCTTTAATAGGACAGTCGGTATAGTGACTGGATACGGGCTGGATGACTGAGGGGTCAGATTTTGAGTCCCGGTTGCGTCAAGAATTTTCTCTTCTCCAAATCGTCCAGACCGATTCTGGGGTCCACTCAACCTCCTATCCAATGGGTACCGGGGGTTATTTCCCCAGGGGTAAAGCGGCCAGGTTCGTGAAGCTAACCACTCACCTCCAACTAGTGCCAAGGTCAAGAAAATGTGGATCTATAGATCCTCACATACGTGCATCTATACATTTCACTCTTATCAACTCTGATGGATTAATTCGGAAGAAACTAGGAAATGTGGTATTTTTATGCCCCTGAATGTACATTTTCTTAATTTTGTCAACTACTCAAATTATACAATGATATTTTAATATAAATTTTCAGAACATTTTTTAATCCTTTAAAGAAATTTAAATATATCTTCATGTTCAAGCTTTCAATAATTAATACACCAGTCCAGTATAGGACTAAAATAATATAACCCTTTAAAATGTATTTATTATTTTGTTTCCTCATCTTATTTGCATATTAAACAGGTCTGTTTCTGTGACATTTATTATTGTTGGATATTTTCTGCAACTTTCATGGGTGAAAAAATTCCAAAGAGTACTTTCTTCTGATATCAGAAATGATGATAAATTCCCAGACTTTAAGCGATTGATTATTTGAATATTACTGTCTTGTTGTGTGTGACACAGCATGACTGATACATACTTATTAACATTACAGACGAAGCAGCTATATTCATTTCAGGATATGCCTTCATCTTGTGCCCTGAAGATGTAGGCAGCAGTTTCCTTCAAAACACTGGTATTTATCTTCCAGACTACAAGGCATCCCAGTACAGAATATTCATCTTCATAGCAACCACTATGAGAACTTCAAATACCAACTAATTATATGTTTTATGAAAACACATCATTGTGAACAATTTCAATAAATTTCTTTATTCTGAAAACTACTATCTTCTGGGATGTGATACTGTGTGGTCTTGCAGAAGTTCACTGATGTTAACTCCATCTTAAGGGTCAAAGGGGAAGCCAAGCAAACAGCAAAGAAGAACTTAGGTTCAAATTATGATGGCTTAAGCTTCTGTTTCAGACAGATGCAGTAGACCCTGTTGGTTCAGTTCCACCTCTGTCCCGTCTGACATTTACTACCACTAAATTTAACTTATATTTTGATATTTCTTTCATAACTGTCACGAGCAAACCTGCCGTGTACCAAATTCCGTGCACATTTTCCTTAGATTAGGTCATTTGTCCAAAGAATCTGCTCAGGCCTGAGGACCTGTGTGACATTTTGTAACAAGCTATTTTTTGTGGTGAGGAGTTGTTAGCCCCACACCCAACCCCCAAACTGGAGGACCACCTTCCGCCATCTACTCCATCTGCAACCTGAGGACATGCCATGCTGTGGTGACAAGGGACCCACCTAACATGGTTTCAGACAGACTTCCTTATTCAAATACAGTAAACCCTTGCTAATCCAGTTACAGTTATGGTTAATCCGGATGGAAATGTGAAAAATGCTGTTCACAGCTGAGCACACACTTCAAAAGATACATGGCATTTAAGAAGACAGATGAATCACTTGTCTGTTCAGACAAAACTTGACAGTTTCTTAAAAATCATATTTTTTTTTCCTTGGCACTACAGCCCCAGTGGGCCTAGGCCTACCTCCATGAACTTCTCCGTTCATTTCAGTTTTTTCTAGATCTTACATATTCGGTAGGACTCCTTGGGCGGGTCATCAGCTCGTCGCAAGGCCTCTACCTGTACACAAACACAGAAAAACACACACACACAAACTAAACATCCATGCCCTGAGTGGGATTCGAACCCACGATCCAGGTTTCCAAGCGAGCGAAGACAGTACATGCCTTAGACTGTTCGGCTACCGTGACCAGCTCAAAACCATATTATTACGTTCAAAAACAAGCACAATTTATGAGTCTTCTATCGATGAATAATATACTATATTTTTATTGTTTTTAAATAAAGGCCATACAGTGATTTTTTTATTTATTTATTTTCCATAGTGCTACTTACATTATTAAATTATCCATTTATTTGTGTCCTAAGGATACCGTTTGCTCCACTAAACCAATTACCACTTAATCCAGATGACCTCCCGTCATCACTCCAGATTAGAAAGGGTTTCCTGTACTTACTTTACAAAATATAAATGATTTATATTGATAACACTGAATATGCATTTATTGCTAATGTGCTGTGAGGTTTCCCCAGCAGTGATTATGAAGATTGCTGTCTCCTGGGATGTGGCATTTTGTGCTCAGGGATTTTGTTACCATTATTTTGGGAGAATGTGCTGTCTCCAACTTCAGGGTTGAAGACCCAATGTTGGTACCCAAATAAAAAACTACATGGTGTCATATCTCGCAAGACAGTAATTGTCAACTGCTAGTATGTTTTATAGTAATAATTTTTTATGCTAACCAGAAGCAGATACTGAAACAAATAATTGTTACTGAGATGCACATGGTACTATTATCTTGGTAAAGGGATACAAGAGTTTATCTCAGCATGGTACTGTAATAATTTTGTAGAGAAATAATTTATGAACACTACGTTAGTGTCATCTCATTTTCTTCTGCATTTCTCATCTCCGCCGCTATGTAACACTTAACAAAAACACAATTACTTATTCCAGTTCATCTATTTTCATCTGTGACGATTCATGCTTATCTGTCGATATTATCACATTTGCCATCATACCGCAATATCAGGATATTAACTGTTGGGGCAATAATTTTTCTGTATGAACTGAATTTTGAACTTACTATATTCAGAACATGAATGGAACAGAATAAGTTACACATAATTTACAATTGTTGCATATTTAAACTCTTTCAAGTTCTAACAAACTATACTTTAAATTCTTCTGCATTTGAGTGACATCTGTAGGAGAAAATGGCATCTATAAACTGTCCATGGTTTTAGATCTTGCCATTCTTAACCAAATGTGAAGTGGATCTGGTGAAGTATACCAATTGAGACAAGGACTGCAGGATATGTATAGTTTACATCAAGGCCTCAGTTACAGCATGGCATACTTCTTCCCCACATTGCAGCTACAACCACTGCCCCACTATTTCTTGCCATATTTCTCTCACTTTCTCCTCTTGTAGAATCCAGAGGTCAGATCTAAAAGCATGGGCTGTACACAGTGGTAACAGCCCACCACTTGACAGGAATAGCACTGAAACCTAGTAAATGTAACCTGTTATATGACAGAATGGATAGTGAATGTGCTAATAATAGCAGTGCTTAGTATTTGTTAGGTACGAGCACTCAATATTATGTATATGGAGCAGTTCATTAACAAAACTTATAAAAATATATATTTCCTTATATATACAATGAAAATAAAAACAGTCAGTGATATTTCCTTCTATATGTACAGAAATGCTCCACATGAAATTAATTTATGTGATCCTGTGATGTTGTGGTGTGTGGACATTGTAGTAATCTTTCACAAAATTTTGAAAATCATGTGATTCTGTAACATTCTACAGGATAAATATTATTGTATCCCTTCAACTAAACTTAAATTATAACTCCCTAATGTTTTGTTCCACCCTACACATGTTAGATTTGAAAGAATCTGAGTTCTTCAGCTTTCATTCAAATTTGGGGTGAAATATGACTGCGCTCGGGAACCAGTAGTCAGATCTGAAACTTGAGGCTCTTGTGGCTGTGACTGTTTAGATTGTGGTATTTTGAGTTGCAACACTGTTCCTCCACCTTCAGGGTAGATTTCTACCCTGAAGGTGGAGACAGCAAGTTCCTCTGAAATGCCAGTAACCTCCAAATGACTACAACCTAAAAACAGTGAAATATGTAAGATTTGAGGTTTTCACAGCAGTGACTATGAAGAATGCCATATTCTGGGATGTGGTGCCATGTAGATATTGTGTTAACTGACGTTTCGGAGGATAGTATTGCCTCCATCTTCAGGGTATAAAGCGGCCTCTGTAGTCTAGGGGTAACATTCCCATGTTCAAACCCGGCGGAGGTCGTGGAATTTTTAAGGGCGGAAAAATTCAGGGAACAAGTCCTCCAGGAGGGACTTTAAGCCGTGGGTCCTGTGTCGTAGATTTACGGCATGTAAAAGCTCCTCATGTGTCTGGGAGACCTCTGAGCAAAATTAGGCAACAATTTCCCGCCCAAGTAGTTTCCAATGCCTCTGATAGATGGGGGAAATATCAGGTACCGATGGCCGACCTCGTTGGCTGAATGGGGCTGATAGCACGCACCAGTACCGGTAGGGTATGGCGACAGCAGAAATTAAAGGGGGACGCACAATGGACCAATAACTGGTCTAAGTGCATGGGGAAACCCACCTCCTCTATAATAATAATAATAATCTTCAGGGTATAAGAAATCCGCAAGTGATGAACCACTGTGAGCAGGTGGCTGCAGGGTCTGCAGATTCATCGCTCACAGATTTCTTATAACCTGAAGATGGAGGCAATACATTCTTCCGAAATGTCAGTTAACACAATATCTAAATGGCGCCACATCCCAGAAGACAGCATTCTTTGACAGCGAAACACTTCATGCAGTGTTCAAGTTAGAGCAGGCAGGATTATTTAGGACAAAGTTTTCTTCATGAAGAAAATTTGCTGAAATTAAAAGTCCATTCTTAATATAACTTCTGTTATTTCACATTTAGTAGGGGATTTTTTTAAATGTTATTTTCATATTTGAGTAAGGTGTTGATAGGCCGTGCCATAGCTCAAACAGTTTGTCGCTGGCTTCCCACCACAGCAGCCCGTGTTCAATCCCGGGTCTGGTCAAGTGGGATTTGTGGTGGACAAAGTGGGGCTGGGGTGGGTTTTCTCCGAGTACTTCGGTTTTGCTTGCCAATCTTCATTCCACCAAATTCTCCATCATCATAATCACCCGGGGCAGGTACAATAGGCCAATCAGTGGCCGCCATGCCGAGTGGACCCAACTGGACTCCACTCCCCAATAAGTGAATTAAAAAAAAAGTGTTGATATGCTGCATCACTGCATACCACCAAAGAATAAACAGGTCACGATGTTTCAAGTTCTCATGGTAGTGAGAATTAAAAATTATTATCTTTTGTGATGTGACAACAGTGCAGTTCAGTAGAAGGGCGCCAATGTTTCAGAAGAGCCTGCTGCCTGCATCTTCAGGGTAGACGAGTAAATGTTGGTATCTAACTACCGAACTACATAGCCACATATACATAAAGACCATAATCTTGTAACAAACTGCCATACCATCACACATTAAATATTTACATGGATATACTTCAGATGGCACTGCCTGACGTGTCACATCTTCTGTATACCTAGATCAGGCCATGCTCAGCAGAACGAGCAGTGGATTTCGTCAAGTTCACTAACTGAGATAGGATTGTATGGCATGTATAGGATATAGGACAGCCTTAGGTAAATTGCATCACTCTTTCTCCGTCCCACAGTGTAACTGCATCCACTGCCCTGCTACTTCTTGCCATTCTTCTCATGTGCAAATGAGAGGCCACATCGAGAAACACAGCCTATAAATACTACCCAAATGGAGCAGAGTCCATCTTGAGAAGCTAATGGCTGCTCAGTCAATCAAGATATAAATTACCAGATGGTTCCTACGTAACTTCAGGTCACAGTCCATACAACAAGCAATACTGAAGGGCCTACAGAAACACCCTGTACATAACATCACCAACAAAATCAGAGCAATGGAATTTTGTTCATTGTGTGTTGTACCCAGTTTGTCGTTGATTTGACGGATCATATGTTCTATACATAAACTGACCGTAAAGAAAAATACTGAATATATACTCCCAAGGCAGTAATGAAATACTTAGTTTCTTTCATCTATTCCTTTTCAATAATAAAGCATGTATAACACTGTAATCAGAAAGAGGTTCGAAGTTTCGATCATAATTCCACAGACCTGCTCAAGGAATTACAGACATCAATGGTCCAGAAGCCAACTAAAATTTCTTCATAGGTTCCACAAACCAACTCTCATCTGCATGTTACAAACACATCTTAATGTATGCAATTTGAGGTTTTAATGACACTGAAGATTTATGCTGCCATCTTCAGGGATATGACGCACTGCAGTCTGGTAGACTGATACCAGTGTTTCAGGAGAACATAATGCCACCACATTCTGGGTTGAAGAGGGCCAAGTTGAGAAAGTGTTACTGTCCCGTGAGATTTCAGGTTCCCATGACAGTGACTATGAACAGTATCTTCTTCGGGGATGTGATGCAGTTCATTTGCATGCTTGACTTACTGTTCAACCCTGCAGATACAGGCAGTATGTTCCCTAACATAAGTAAACATCTAGAAGACCATACGTCATATCCCATGGGACATGGCTCTTAACTGCTGTTGCCCCACCTTTGGGCCCTACAGTTCTCATTGGCCAGCTCAAGGCCCAGTGTCATCCTCTCCATCCCTGGCATTGATTGGCTACTCTGTTCTTCCTAACCTGCTCTTATCCCCACGCCCCTAATATAATCTGCCAACTTCCCAACTTGGGTCGCTTATCATGAAGACAGAGGTGGCATATTCCTCTGAAATACTGGTAACCACCTACCACTATGAGTAGTGTCATGGCCCACAGGACCACAACAGACTTCTTGTTGTGTTTTTAACGTTTTATGAAGCAAGCCTGCACGCAAGTTTCTGGAAATTTATGGCAGCACTTTTACACATACAAGATCAACTGTTTTGTCACAACAAATCATGCCCTTGTTTGCTCCAGACATCTCTGCTCCCGTTCCTCATTGCTCATATCGGGAAATGCATCTTAAAATGAAAATTATACTTTACTATGGAAAATATATTGCTATGAATACAGTCAGGCCAATTTGGGCAACAAACTGACTAGGATAGAGACTAAACGATGAGGGTTTGATTCTCAGTGGGGGAAAATATTTGTTTCCTTTACTGGGGCATCCAGATTGACTTTTGATCCCAACCAGCCTCCTAACCAAGATATACTGGGAGTTCCTTCCTACGGTTAAACTGACTTAAGTATAAAGCTGACCACTCACCTCTGCCTAGTGTCAAGAATATGTGGATCTATACCACCACTTTCACTGGAATGCTGCTTAATTAAGCATGTGGAGGACTTCCATTTTATTTTACTTTCATCTCCACTTTTTGTCCATGATGCTATTGGGTGTTATACATGGAACAATGAACTTCTAGTCTGTATCTGAGGAGAAAAAATTCGTAGGATTTGTGTAATGGAAAACACATAATATTAAAATTAGGAGAATATAACTGAAGAAAAATTTTCTGTACTTAGAAAACTTTTAATTTAATTTAGCTATAATGGTGATTAATCATTAAGTGTGTTGCCATGTTTTACAGTTAACTCTCTAAGACAATAACTCTGGGTTAATGTTTTGATGTAAACTGGATAAGAGCTTGTAGATAATATGGTACTGTTGTTAAGTATTAGCTGTCGGATTCGTGTTTTGTAAATATTGCACGTTCAGAGGTTCAGTCTGTATAAATACACAACATACTCTATGGATTGTTTAAATCAATGTAATTTCTGTTAATACCCATTATGCTTCACAGGTTTGTAATTCTTTCCTTTTTACAGATGTCAAACTGGAAATGCTGCTTTTGTAAGACTTATTATTTTAAGGTACATGAATAAAATTGTAACTAAATTTAGAAATTTCAATAGGAAAGCATGTTACTTAGTGTAGATAAATGGTAGTATATAAAGAACAGGATTTACTTTTAAGAAAAATAATAAAAATGTATTTTGGAAGCTCATTCAACTGTTGTAGAAACAAACAGGCCTAAGAATGAATGTGGACTTGAATGTATGCACATAACCCAATGTTATATTGAATCTAGAAAAAGATATGTTGGAATATATTTCAAGCTATGAAGTGTTCATCAGTGTTGGTTCTATTATTCATACATATTTAACCCAATAATTTAGGATGGCCAAACATCCAACTTTCCCAAAAATGTCCTCTGATCAGTCATTGATCCAAGCAGTGAAAGCTTTAAATCCTACAGTGTGAAGCCACCATTTTAGGTTATCGGAACTACTCTCCTCCTTCCTTCATGAGTAAATAAAAGCTCCCTACATATAGAAACCTTTGGCTGCCATGACACTACCATACAACTATCTGTTAAAATGACAATAGCTGATAGTAAATGCAGTAGCATAGAAAACCCCACAATACTTCCCTCAGATGAACTTCAAACAATAGAAATATTTCATGTGAAAGCCCATTCCTTCCTCTAAACATTCATTCATTCATTCAATCAATCAATCAATCAATCGATTTATTTGTTTCAAGAATCCATATTTGGTGATACAACCTACAGATATAGAACAAGTCAGTAACTACATATTAATATAACATATATTGCACCATAGCTCAAGTGGTTAGTCGCTGGCTTCCCACCGCAGCGGTCAAGTGGGATTTGTGGTGGCCAAAGTGGTGCTGGGGCAGGTTTTCTCCGAGTACTTCGGTTCCCCTGCCAATCTTCTTTCTACCAATTGCTCCACAATCACCCTCACCTATCATCTGGGGCTGGTACAATATGCCAGAAGTGGCCGCAGTACAAGGGACTTAGTCCCACCCCACTAGCAATAAAAAAAATACAGCATAATTATCACGCATAGGTCAACTATCCTATAAAACTTAACTACCTGTAGATTTCATACACATCAATCATAAAATACATCATCCCACTTACAACAATTGAATAACCAAAAGAAAACCTGTATCCAAGGATTTTTTTATAGATTAAGTGAGGACAAGATGTTTGTCATAATATAAAACCATAACACACTCACTTAAGAATTAGAGGGACATAAATTCATCAATGGAATAAATTGAATGTTTCAACATATAAGATTTACTTGAAAACATTTACTGACAGAAATGTTACAACAGGAAATGGCTCTTATTCATATGAAGATTACTCATAGTAGGAAATTAAAAATATAGAGAACACAAAATAAACTAAAAAAAAAAATAGTGTTCTATGGGATATGCTTCAGCCTGTACTTACAAGTTTTGGATGAAGAGAAACCATGATGTTCTCAGACATATATACATCAAACTGCTATAAAACCAGCCACACACTGAATGATGTTGCAGTTAATTCCATTTCCTGGTTCAATTATTGTGATTCATTTAATTGGCCACAGTAAGAATTTCAGTAGAATCTGCAAGCAACATCTGGGAAAAATAAAAATGTACCCTCTATGTAATGACAGGTAATGGTTTAATGCACAAACATGGTACTTACTTACGTATGGAGCTGAGCCCTTCTTGAGGAGAAGCCAAATCTGCAGCTATTCAAGAATTTCCCTGCATTTTATGGAACCCGAAGGTTCATTACCCTGTTCACAAGAGCCCTCCACTGGTCCCTATTCTGAGCCATATCAATGCAATCCATACCATCCCATCCTATCTCTCTAACTTCTGTTTTAATATTATCCACCCACCTACCCCTTGGTCTGTGGTAGGATTACTTACTGGACACTGCCACCTAAAAGGACACCTTTCCAAACTGGGACTGACAGAGGATCCAACTTGTGAGAGGTGCTTACAAGAAGATGAATCAACCACACACATCTTATGTGACTGTGAGGCTACAGCTTATTTAAGATATGGCCACCTGGGTCAATTCTTCATGGAACCCAGCGACTTTTATGACACCCCTGTAAACAAAGTCCTACATTTCATTCGAAGTGTAGGATTAATAAAGAGTTAATCCAAAGGGGAAGCACAATAGACCACTGAAAGTTGCAGTGCAAGGGCCAGTTTTATGGCTCACCCCTCATATTCATACTCATACTCATATGCCTTGGTCTTCCCAGTGGACTCCTTCCTTCTGATTTTCCCACCAATATCCTATATGTATTCATCTCCCCCATTCATGCTACATGCCCTGCCCACCTCATCCTCCTTCACTTGATCATTCTAATTGTACAAACGTGGTAAAAAAAAAGCTTCAAATTGGTGTTTGAGTTTTTGAACAATTCTTAAAACTCTATAACTAATTAGATTCCACAATTTATATACTTAACGTACAATACACTATTTTAATGAGGTTCATGAGACACAGCAAAAGAATTCCTGAGATGAGAAGAAACTGCAGAACAATGAAAGCAAGACAAAATTAACATCACTAACTTCATAAAGAGATGACAATTCCTACATTATTATCAGGGCCATTGACATGAAACCTGTTCAGGGATTGTTCTGGGTGAAGGAGCAGAGGCTATTACAATCAGTCCTTGTGGATGGCGAGGCAGGGGTCCCATTGATGCACTGGCTGATGTATCCCCTCCATAAAGAATTCCCTGGACTGCTGTTGCCGGACCTGATGCACCATGGCAGCCTCGACAAACACGTGAACAGGTTTCCTTTCAGCTGCCCTGATATATGGAAGCCATTTTGGGTGCAGGAAAACACACCATATGAAGAATAACAGTGTGGTGTGCTGCCTAGGACCGGAATATTTTGAATCAGAATGCATCCATTGCTATACAACGGCTAGCAATTGCTAGGCAACGAAGCCTAGGAAATCATTGCCCCGGAAATGAAAGACTAACAATGGAGTTTCCATCATTACACGCGAATTGTTTGAGGCAGACATGTAGTCCTGCATTTGTTGCTTAACAGCAGGCAGAATTAACCCTTCGACAAGGTATTCCCTGTGCAGTCTGAGGGCAAGTTATAACAGTTCAATATCACCCAGAGACCAGCAGAGTTTGTATTCAACTTTAGCAGGAAAGAGTTATTATCCGACTAGAACAGAAGCGTTGTGTAACACTGGAGAAGAAACGTCTAAAGGACATGGAGTATAACTGTAAGTGTGAGCGTAAAAGCGTCTGTCCAATAAAGGTATTCATTCAAATCCGAGAACCCACACAATTTCTTGTCAGGTTTCCTAGCAAACACACGACAATAGCATAAAGCAAACATTTCAGGCATATAAGAATTTGTACAAGGTTAGATAAAAGCAATGAAGGTATTAAGACTCATTAAATGGAAAAACTGAAAATTACAGCATCATTATCTATAAATTAATGACAGATTTAAGAAAGAGGAACTGGTAAGCTCAGTCAGTAGTGACTAGACTGCGTGCTGAATAACAAGGGTTCAATTTCATGCAGAAGTACATTATCCTCTTTACCACGGTACCAAGACTGACTGTGAGGTCCACACAGCCTCATATCCAGTGGGTACTGGGGTTTGTTCCTCAGAGGTTGTCGGAGTGCAAAGGTGACCACTTAGTTCTTCTAATGCTGAGACTGAGAATGTTTGAAGCTATACCTCCACTCCTCTACATCTTCATGGCATGGTGCTTAATTAAGGACATGGATAATTTTACCTTTGGACAAATTAATGATAGGATATTCATATTACATTATATTATCAACAGACAGTAAAAGGGAATAAGATAACATAGCAGTGAGAGTATTACATTTTAAGTTGGTTTCCAATAAACACATTTCATTAATTAAAAATATAAAATAACTGATTACAGTGTGACTACAGTACAAATCTTTTCATCCTTGCTGACCTTGAATTCTGATTATAAGGTAAAAGGTAAAGTAAAGATATCCCTGTAACAGAAAGTGAAGGCCCATATGGTTGTGAGACATCAAGGCTCCCACACTTTCTAGACAATCCGCTCACAGATGGCAGTGAAGTTGCCAGCCTTAACTACCAGCCGCCCTTTACCCCAGGAATATTCCTGTTACTCATCTTTGGTAGAGGCTGAGTCAAACCCAGGGCCATAATGCAGCTGGAAGGAGTAGGTCAACTGAAAAATCCAATGACGTCATCGGGAATTGAGCCCATGATTTTCTGGCTTGTAGCATAGTACCTCAAACAAATACTAAAATTGTATGATTTTAAACATGAATAATTTTAAATTAGGTTACATTCATTGCTGTGTTCTTGCTTCATAATGAGAAACAAAAACTGGTGTGCAGAAGCACAGAATGTCAATGGCATTCTCATTGCTTTCAGAATCAAATCTTAGAAATCTCTCCTTTACGAGTCAGAAACTTAGCAAAATGGTCTGATTCTGGTCTGAAAAATACAGAAGAAACACAAACAGATATAGACAACCTGTCAACATCATACATTCTAAGTTAATACATAGAGCTAGATACTGACATCATCATTAATTATTCAATTAAAAATATACAGGGTGATTCTTTTAAACAAGAACCTAATGTTAATGGTATTTTCCTACTCTCTCTCTTTAATGATCTTTCCTTTCTTCTTTATTATACAGGACGACTTTCTGAATGAGAACCCAATATGAGTGCTGTATATGCTAACAGTAACTTGGTGATGTGGAATAAACTATGATGATTTATGAACAAAATATCAAACTTGTGACAAGGACTGTACCACAGGGAAATATTGTAATTTGAACTTTCACAGATGTTGTTTGTAAAGTTTCTAAAGTTATCTTGTCCTGTAGCCCAAGGGCAAAGACAAAAGTAGAACGTTTTTGTTTTTGAAAACATACCACATACATCAGTAAAAGTCCAAGAGAAAGACCAATGTACAATTAGGCCAAGATCTACAGAACGTCCTCAAGCTTGATCAGTGTCACCATAAGGGGAAAGGGCAGCAGAAGTTTCCAGGAGAAACTATCCCAAATACCAGTATAAAAACCAAGTTAATACAGTTGTAAAGCCAGTCACTACGAATCTGTACGGGGGGGGGACTCTATGCTGTTTAGAAGCCGGCCTTCGCCATTGGCCTTAGGCGATATACCTGTCCTCTAGTCTGTACAAATGCAAAGTGCATATAATAAACATCGTTTTAAGCTAGCTCTTTTAACAGTCATCTCCATCCACCAAACAACGAAACTACAGGTCCCGCTCGGCTAATGCTCCGCCATCCCCAAACTCAGGGGATACAACATGAGGAATGTCATTAACATCATGTATTAATGGGCTGGGGCCAATTTAATGAAATATTATGAACACTGGGTTCCTGCTTAAATCACCCTGTATATTACAAATCGAACACAAAGTGCACACAGTATGTGTAACTTCAGGTTGTGTTGTAAAGTGTCTCACTGTGTTGTCATCAGTCTGCTGCAACAGAGCTCAGAGACTGCATTCTGCTGCTGTAGTCCCTTAGACGACATCACCTGAACCTGCCATTACAGTGCACAAATGCAAGCTGGACCTGGCTCATGGTAGCCCCTGTTCATGCTAAACTCTTCCATGAACGGTTTCAAGTTAAATTACAGAAAAAAACAACTCAGGGGAGAGTATATGTTGATAATAGGATGACAAATTCACAGTTTGGTGTGCCCAAGCATAATTCATCTTCTGAGTATTGGACTGTTCTATCTCCACTTTTGGGTGAAAAAGAGATAATGCACTTTGATGATTCCCATGTTGTATTGCATAGCTTCACATATTTCCATAGTTCTACCTTATTTTCAGGGAATGACATTTCAGAATGTGTTTTGCTCTAAATCATATTTAAACTGCAGCTGGTTCCCTAACTTCAAACCCATCTTCCAAAATACTGGTGTTGATGAACACAGTACACTCCAAAAATCAGGTGATGAACTGGATTTAAACGGGGTTAGAGTTATGATAGGCACATAATCTTACTTAGTACAGCACATGTTTAATCCCACAACCATACAGATATAACTTGACACATTAATATAAAAATATACAGTTGTAAATTCAGCTCAGAAACATATGGTTTAGAAGTTTACACAATTATATAACTTTTTTCTCTTCTATATAAAAAAGTATAATTAGTGATTTTAAGCTTTCCCGGTGGTCAATTGCTGACGTTAATTTCACTCTCATGTTGTTACACTGTATGGATGTCACTAATATTGGTGACATTTCTGAGGTATATTCTGCCTCCATCTTCACAGTTCAAGAATGTAATGTGAGTTTCTATATCTACAAAGAAATTCAACCACCTGACATACTTTGACCCTGAAAACAGAAGCTGCACGTACCTCTGAAATATCAGCAACACCACCGAAATCCACACAGGGTAACAAATGAAGAATGTAATTAATATCTTAAAGTACAGTGGCAAACAAAACCTTAGCATTGTTAGTATAAGCACATACACATTGTCTGCTTAAATATTGCACAATATTCTTTGGTATGAAAAAGTTAAACAGTTCCGTCCAGTGTGACTAGTTAAGACTTTCTTACGTCAATTATTCATGCCCTTACATGTTTCAGTCTTCAGAGACCATCTTCAGAGGGACACCTTTACATCAATACAGTTAGAAGCCACTATTACAGTACATGTTCTAAAAGTTAAAATATAATCATACAATATAAACAATATACAAGTGGCTGTAAAATCTAAAGTCTTTACAACTACAGCAGCTGTTCCAATACATTAAAATATTTATAGTTAGTTTGTTAAGGTGTCCCTCTGAAGATGGTCTCTGAAGACCAAAACATGACGTAAGAAAGTTTTAACTTGTCACACTGGACGGAACTGTTTAACTTTTTTCATAATATTAGTGTGACGGACCAGAATGAAACAAATCACATTCTTTGGTAGTTTAAAATAACACAAGACAACATCAGTGATGTGAAACCTACTCGTACATTGTATAACCACATTGATGATTACAGTAAAACTGAGCAATCGTCTAAATATCTTAAATCTAAGGCTGTAAAAGCAATGAACATGATCATTACCTTCGGCAAGAAGGAAACAGGTTCCTCTGGTATATTGCTTGCTATCTACCAAACTACAAGTTGTTGTATTTCAGAAGTCCACGATCTTCATAAAATATTTGCACACCTACAATAACAGAGCCATAATGGAAAAGAAAAAGAAAAAGAAAAAAAAAGGAAGGAAAAAAACTCACAAGACAGCTGTTCGAAGTTCTGTACTGTGAACATAAATGCAAAGATAAGAGCTGAGATGTAACTGCTACTTACTGGACGGAGAGCAACCATGGTCATGACCTTATTTATGTTAAAACCAACTCTGGATTCCTAACAGTGTAATAAAAATATTTCTTTCTGATCTGCGGCTATAGTGTTCTAGGTATGCAACACTACAGAGCTTTCTAAACTAAGGGGTGAAAACAGTGGCCTTAAAAGGAATCTTTCTTGGATCCATTGAATAACAAAATATTTCTGAACATTACAAAATTTAGTGATAGGAACCAAGATACATTACATCACAACAGTAATACATTGGCAAGAACTGGCATAAATAGCTTGCAGCACTTAGATAATATACTATATTGCATTGCATAATATCCCACCCAACCTCAACTTCAAAGCATCAGGCTGAATTTGGTTTTTAAGCCTTCTGCTCCCCTGTTCCAGGGGGGTCATCTATTGCTGCGTTTTCCAGACTGATCAAGGTCACACAGTAACATGCTGTGATAAAACAAAATAGTTCTCTTTCAGAACACCCTTTTAAGCATATAGTCTTTTCATCTTCCATTAGATGGTGCACCCTGCTGTTCCTTACAGATATATAGACTGTTCACAACTCATTTCTTTCCTGTGGAATATTACAAGTATGTCAGGGTCCTGCAACAAATGGCTGGGCTGGCATTTAAATCAGCACCAGAATTCTTGGGGGTGAAAGTATCAAGCACCCCTCAAATCAAACTGATATTGTGTGGATTTGAATGTTCAGACAATGAATATAAGTTTACTACAATTTGCAAATAAATTATAAAACTCCTTGTTTCAAAGCAGGGCAAAGAACAGGGAGTATGATTTTCAAATGTATGCTCAAACTGAAGAGTCAGACAATCCATCTGTGAAGTAAGGCAAACTCTTAACTTCATGAAAACACTGTCTAGAAAATTCACTGTATAATTATTACATCACTAGTTGTATACATGTCGAGGTTCAAGAAATAATTTTATTTAATAATGTAAATATTTAGTAGTTATCCTGGTGATTTCAAGAAATGTAAAATATTTCATATATTATCACAATGTCTTTATCAGTCATAGTTTTGCAAAACTCTGTTCTTCCTAGCATAAGACAAAATTTTCATTGTTTTGCATATAAAAAAATATCAACTCTAATTTATTTTTTAAGTAAAACAATCTTGCAATTATGTCAACAGTTGAAGTATTATGATTATACTAATTAAAATTAGTATTAGAAACATAACATTTTAATTTCAAAACAGGAAGACAATGATAATATAAAAAAATAACATTTTATATAAATTTCCAAATACAATATGGAAACATGTATCTTAAAATGCAATAGAAGCCATAAACTTTTGGTATACCAGATGGCACTTGATAAATCTGAACCATTCTAAGCTTCAGTAATATGTTATGCACTTATCAGCCTCAAAATTTGTTTATTTAGGATCTGAAGTTTTCAAAACACGGAGACTCATATTCTAGACTTCTGTGCTGTAGCCAGAGCTGGAAATGGAACTAGACACCGCTAGATGTCAACCAATTAGTTCCAGAGCACTTCATTTTGAGGAATCTATTTCCAGTGGCTTAAGATGTCATAACTATCATTCTCAGCAACAGTATGGAAAAAATTCACAATCCTACACTGTAACAACATACTTTTAATGTGAACTGGTCATTTCCCCTGGCTCTTCCTTTCATCTGGAACATCTAATTAGCTCTCAAAGGTCATTTCCACTCCTAGGTACAACACTGTGTCATAGTCTCTTTGGTGGGTACTAACATTCTGGCGGAAAATACTTCCTGTACAGGCTTAGAGCCCTAAGATGGTGTCAGTCCGTTCAGCCAAAATGTTTGTACCCAAAAACCAGACTGGAATATGTTGTCATAATCCAGAAGACTATAATATTAAAATGGGTCAGGTTCACAGTCAGTTTGAAAGTCTCGTACACGAGAATACTCCTTTTTCATCAGCAACATGTCACATTAGAATTCACTTACATTATGTCACAAAGCACAAATAAAAATATTACTAACAAAAGAGTAACAAATGTTGAGATAGAAATTCTTATAAGGTATCAACTTACTGCAAGTAAAAATATTCCACTTAAAAGTAAACAGCAATATTCTGAATTGAGCTTTGTGAGATTTCAAATATCCATCACTACAAATTATGAGCCCTCCGGCAACTTTACTGACACCATTCTTAGTTCAAAGGACAGTACCTGACAGAAACGATGGCTGACACACGGCTTTGATTTCTTGGCTGTATAATGTGATTGCATTATTTTGGTGTATTATGATATAAATATAAACGCCATACGAAGAAACTATGGTAGATGTTAATACATTTTTAAGAATTTCAGATAACCTGGGAATGACATAAACTTTCCTTGTATGAGGCTGTGGAGGCCAATAGAGTTGTGAGACATTGAGGCTCCCACATTTTATAAACAATCAGCTCACAGATGGCGGTGAGGTAATCAGTATTATGGGTCAGCTGCCCCTTAGACCCAAGAAGATTCCTGGTACTCATTTCTGTTAGAGGCTGAGTCGACCCCAGGGCCACAGTGCGGCTGGAAGCATTAGGCCAATTCAAAAATCCAATGACCTCATTGGGAGTCAAAACAGCAACCTTCCAGGTTGTAGCACAGTGCCTCAACCAACTACACTGCTGTATGCCCCCCAGCAAATCAAAATTAAAATTAAATACACAATGAAAGGGAGATTATATTCAATAAATGTGAAATCTGAGGTTCTCACAGTCGCGATTACAAAATGTCAGCAAATTTCTATCAGATCACAAAGTGTCACATCCTAAGAGATGACAGTCTTCAAATTCAGTAAATGCTTGCTACCATACAAAGCACAATAGTGTACTGTCACACCTCCTACCAAAAAACCTAAAGATAATACATTAAAAACTAAGATATTTCATATTCTTTTATTTGGATAACAAATATTGTCTCTTACCCCAAGAGAACATGCACTAAGGATAAAGTTTATGGTCTCCTGTGATGTGACACCACGCAGTTTCGAGATTTACACTTCTACGCTGGAAATGAGGCAGTACATTCCTCCAGAACATCAATAAATTTCTACCAGACAATATGGCATCATGTCCAAGGAAGACAGTACTCTTCATTTGTAATACTGCTGTGACAGTTGGTAATACTGAACTTCTGCAGTTTATCATACAGTATTCAAAACAGAACATCTTTTGGAAACTGGGCTCTGCTTCTGCTAGGAGGTAAAAAGGTGAGGACATAAAGAGACTAGTTTCCAAAATATTGTCTCTTGTTTGGAACAATAAGGTGATGAGAGAAATCAAGAAACCCAAATAATACTGTTACCATGGCCATACTAAAAACATACATCAAAGACTCTGATTCAGGGCTTTAAACCTTGAATATGCAGACTTTACAGCACTTTCAAGAGTAAATATTCCTCCCAGTACAACAAACACGGTGCATACAACTTGAGCAGATAAGCTACCATGTTTGGGAAACCAAAGAGTATAGATACCAAAAATTTCAGTAACCACGCCAACAGTAAATGTCAATACACCCAAAAAATTGTGAAACAGTTTCATTTTAGCAGGTTTTAAATACTGATTTAATCTAAACGAATACAGTGTTATAACCCCTCCACTACTAGTGATTCCAACAGAAACAAGAAAAACTAAACCAAGTATTGAATGCCATGATTTAAAATGGCTCTTATTATGTATATTTTTATTAATTACTATAACTAAGAAACCTGTAAATATAAATGCAGCAGCTATTGCCTGTAAAATCCAATGAAGTCGAACTCTTCCTTGACGACTGAGTTTTGAAGCAATTATGTTATCTTGCGACATGATCATTACAGCCTCTGCCATCAACAGAAGGGACTGGAATAGAGACAAAACCTAACTTACTTACTTACTTGTGGAACTGAGCCCTTCTTGAGGAAACACCAATTCTACAGCTACTCAAGAACTTCCCAGCATTTTATGGAACTGGAAAGTTCATTACCGTGTTCACGAGAGTTCTCCACTGGTCCCTATCCTGAGCCAGATCAATCCAATCCATACCACCCCATCATAGCTCTCTAAGATCCATTTTAATATTGTCCACACACCTACGCCTTGGTCCTCCCAGTGGCCTCTTTCCTTCTGGCTTCCCCACCAATATCCTATATGCATTCCTCTTCTCCTCCATTCATGCTACATATTTTATCTCATCCTTGTTAATTAAGTTTTCATTGACTTGATCTCGTTTGGTTTGGTAACATTCAATTGCTACCAGCTTTGAGGAGCCATCACAGTAATGAGAAATTTTATATTTGTCTACACTTGTCTGAACATAACATTATTTTGCGTTTTCTTAAACTATTGCCACACTTGCCAATCCTGCAAGTGCTAATGTTGAAGATAAATAAGATTACAGCATATTCTTGTAATTCAAGGCTGTTTATGTATTACTGAAAACAGCAGTCCCCAAAGTGGGTAGTACTGCCCCCAGTAGGGTGGTGGATTATCAGGTGGGGCATTAAGAAGCAAGTGGGTGGAAGGAGGCCCTGGAGGTGGGCCCCTCTGAGTGCGTTAATTGCCTACTTACGACTTAAGTGACTATACACCAGACACAGGGAAACTGGTATCACTTCATCAAGCCTACCCATTGCATTAAGAATTTACTAACAGCATAGTATTTCCTGGGTGTGGTTTCTTATTTTATTATTATTTTCCTCGGTGGGTTGTGCAAACCGCTATTCTGAAGAATGCTTTTTATACGGTTGGGCACGGGCACTGGGAGTGAGGTTATGGAACCAAGCGGGCGTTGGTCCCAAAAAGCTTGGGAACCACTGATTTGCAGCACAGTTAAAAGTGTATATGATCATAGGATATTATAATACCTTGAACTACTAGGACCTAGTGAATACCACACAACTCCATGTTACTTAAACGAATAGTTTAAACTCGTAAAACCACACTTTAACTATCTAAGTAAGGTTAGGTTCAAAACAATCCTTCATACGTGGAACTGAAATTACACATCAACTCACCCCAACTGTCATACACGTTGGATGCCATGAAAATAAACTGTAGTCTTCAAAGCAAAGAAATATTATGTATATTGTAAAAACCCCGAATATCAAGTGACTTAGCACGCTCATGGCGGAGCCGATTAAACTGTTTGTCTTGTCGGCCTTATCATGTAATGTACCATCTTGCTGCTGACCCGCGTCCTTTCGATTCAGTGCAACTGCAGTGTTTGTTTTGCTTTGTTCCATACGTCCACTTCCATATGATAATACTTCCATCTGTTTTGTTTCTGCGTCACTCTTTCTTCCCTATTAAAATGTCACTATACCAGATAAATGCAACGAACATCCTTGTTTCTGATATAGTTACATGTCCATTACCAGTACTTCGTATCCAATATTTCAAAGGCAGAATACCTGCAATATCTATATGCTACTTAGCATGTTTATTTAGACGAGGAACTATCGTTACACAGACAACCATATAGTTTCTGTTGGTTCAAATGTCTGAGCAGACATCATATCAATTACATAATTTTTAATTAGCAGTAACAATTCTTTTGACCTCAGCGCAGCCAGACAAAATGCCCGACGAATTATCCAAGCACGGTGACTGTAGCAGAACTAAAAATACCTTGAGCAGTATGAAGTACAACTATTTTTAACACATGGTTGGCTCGACTCTATAATAAAATAAAAAAAGTAAAAGTTATTACTTTTACTTTAAGCATGTAGTGACTTCTTAATTGCGGGAATCGGTGATAATATTAAGTTATTTGTAGTTACGACCTGTAGATGGTTAATACGTCTATTCAACAATCCTAACCACGTCTGTGGTCACTCATGCGCGTAACAATATAGCGACACGTCAACCCGTTACTAGACAACAACTTGTTGCGTAACAACGCGTCAATAAACTCTGCCAGCCAGACAAGGAATTGTTCTCTAGCAACACGACGTCCGTTCTCGGCTATATAAGCAAGGCGATTACAGGTGCCGCTATCAGTTGATACTCAGTGTTCGTTGCAAGAGTATGGAACATGGTAGGAGTAGCACTCTTGGTTATTTTCCGGACAACATGCAAAGTGATAGTTCTTCTTCTGATAAACACCGAGACAACACTGAAGCCTCGTACACCTGCGGTTGCTTCGGGTGGGTACGAAGTTGGATATGTAAGAAGGTAAGCTAATTTCAGACATGTTCATACTGAAAAAAAAAAAAGTGATTGTTGGATGTGGTATGCCTCAGATGTATGATGTCTGGTTTTGTTATGAATTTTAATATTTTTTAATGTAACTGTTTGGATGCTATGGCTTGCCAGTGTGTGTGGAATGTCAAGGTGTGAAGTTGACAGTGGTTTTTCCACGACTCATGTGTGTTGTCCTGACAAATTGAGCTATCTGTGAGAGGCCTGGTTATATATTTTATTGGACCAAGGACGAAGGATATGTAGTCATAATGAATTTGTAATATGCGACACGTTTTACATGCAGCCCTACAGGGAGATGATTGGATCCATGAGGTGAAAATAAATGTAAATATAAATCATGTTGACTGAAACATGTGTTTTTGGAAAATTTTTGAAGTAAATAATGTACGAATATAGAATTCGTAAGCAGTTTACTGACTAAAATATGAACCGAGGCTTCGATAAAATTCGTTTTCCTTTTCAGAAATGTGTGGACAGTGATGGCGATTGTTATGAGAAGAAATGTCCAGAGAACAACACGGAAGAGGCCGCGAAACACTTCCCAGACTCGTCCACTAGTGGCTGCTTCGAGTGGCTCAGAGGATGGGTATGTAAGAAGGTAAGCAAAGTTTAGACATGTTTATACTGAAATTACAAAAGCAGATTATCACGTGCTTTCAACATTCCGTACGTATATGATTATATCACAAAATTATTCAGGAAACAAGCAGAAGTCATACAAAATCATGATAACGAAAATGTTCACAATATTGGACAAGGCGAAGCCCGATATAGAAAGTATAAGAGGCTTAAACATTGCGGCGGTCAAGCATACGACCGTTCAAGTGACTAAACTGCCGTTGTAGTGGAAGCTACTAGAAATAGGGCATAATCCTCTATACTGAACCTGGCCTGACAGAGGCCCTGTATATATTTTCTATATATTTATTTAATAACATGTTTAACATGTAAAATATAAATATCCTTTACATTATGTTAAATGACTTACTACTGCAGACAATGACTTTGACAAAAGAGAGACCCATCTTCTCGTCAGAGAGGGCGCCCCACAGAAATAAGACCGAAACTGTCAAACAGTAATAAATATCTGGTCATAAACCCCAGACTGGGCTCGACACCAAGACTGACTGACTGGCTGACCGTCAGTTGCAATGTAACTTTGACTGTAATTGAAACATATGTTTCTCGCAAATTGTGAAATTAGATGTGTTGTAAATAGTGTCACGTCTATGGGGGCATGCGGTAGCGTAGTGGTTGAGGCACTATGCTACAAGCCGGAAGGTCGAGGGGTTCAAGTCCCGATGAGGTCATTGGATTTTTTCAGTTCACTTAATCCTTCCAGCCGCACTATGGCCCTGCGTTCGACTCAGCTTCTAACAGAAATGAGTACCAGGGATTAATTAAATAATTTCCCTTGGGAAACGCGCGGCCAGCGCGTAAGGCTGACAACATTACCGCCATCTTTGAGCCGATTGTCTAGATAATGTGGGACCCTCAACGTCTCACAACCCTATGGGCCTCCACGGCCTGTTACAGGGATAGCTTTACTTTACTTATGAGTGGCTATAGACGGAATTCCGGTCTGGTGACTCGTTCTATTGACCACTTTAACACACGCCATCGCTAATATCCACAATTTACACACAACTAGAATCCACGCTAACTGTATTCCAGACAGCAGTGTCTCCACTAGTCGTTTCCAAATAATGGCTTCTAACAGTGGAGATTCTTCAGCTTCCGTACTCACGCCATTCGTGGCTGGCCACTCTCTCACAACTGAACTTAGCTGGCTGTTAAACTGCTGCTGGCCCTCAACAGCATCGTGATTCTTGGTTTCGAGTCCCACGGGACTCATGACTATAGTTTATGTCTAACGGCTCTGGGAGACTTCCAGACTCTGAGCAAAGTCAAAGTCAAAGTGGTTTTACGACTGGCGGTTTACCACCGATCAGGACCACAATTTTTAACTGAAGTCTTTTCGGTCATAGTCCTTAAGTAATAGCCCGTTTATAACCATTAAGAAAACACAGCTTTATATTGTGTATAGTGTATAGTGAGGGCGTTACCAAGCAACGGCCACTGTTTACAGAGTCACCGCTTAGCGACGAGTCTATACGCCACAATATTGTGACATGTTGCGCAATGGAGAACGCCCCCGCCCTCCCCACGTGCGTGCCACGTCACAGTAGGAAGCGGTGTCACGTCACATCTGGAAGCCGCGTCACGTCACAGTGCGGGGGGGGGAGGGCGGAGCGCCGACTCACCCGACACGCCACCGCTGGGGAGGGAGGGGGCGTCCTCCATTGCGCAACACGTCACATTATTGTAAAGTGGATAGACACAGCATTGCTAGGTAACTGACAGCGAAACACCCCGCGACCGTTGCTATGCAATCAGTCGGTAAACACGTTCCAACAATATAGAACAGAACAGATGTCAGTATTTGGGAGTATCTTGGATTATTCGGGAGTGTTTGAGTGTTTAAGTGACAGGAAAAGAGTTCTCGGTGGAAGATAGCCACGGAATGCACGTCGAGCAAACACTTTGGTGTGATTTGAAGACTTTATGTGTGCTGTAGTACAGTGATATTGGGAGTGTGTGATTGAGACGTTTATAGTTCCTGTGTAAAATCCGTTAACAGGAAAGGGAGAGTGAAAACACTGTCAAGGCTTAGCCATAGTTCAGATCTGTTACCTAGCAACGAATAGTGAATGCATATAGAAGATTTTATTTATGTGTTATAATTGCAGTAATCCTTAGAGTGTTGTAGTTATTTGTAGTTACGACTTGTAGGTTGTTAATTAAACCAATTAACAATCCGAACGGCGTCTTCAGTAGCCAAACATAAGACAGTACTTACTTACTTATGAAGCTGAGCCCTTCTTGAGGAAAAGCCAAATCTGCAGCTAATCAAGAATTTCCCAGCATTTTATGGAATCCTAATGTTCATTACCGTGTTCACAAGAGCCCGCCACTGGTCCATATCCCGAGCCATATCAATCCAATCCATAGCATCCCATCCCATCATATCTCTCTAAGATTCATTTTAATATTGTCCATCCACCTACGTCTTGTTCTTCCCTTCTGGCTTTCCCACCAATAACCTATATGCCTGGCATGACCAACTTCAAACAGGTTGTGATCTACTACTACTATCGTCGTACCGCGCTTTAAGCAACAATATTGGTAAAAATAACACGACACATGATGTTTGTTGTAAAAGCAACGTACACTGAAAGTACAGACTACTTTAATATGTATTTTCCCTTCAAAATCTGAATATAATCATATTACAAGTGAATTTACATGCTTTTCATGCATAATTTCCTTATAGGCCTATGAGATCGACCAAAAATCGTCCCGCGATCGACATGCCTGCTATATGCATTCCTTTTCTCCCCCATTCGTACTACATGCCCTGCTCACCTCATCTTCAAAGACATTATTATATGAAATATATACAATGCCTAGAAACAAAAGGAAAATGAAATATTATATCTAATAGGAATTTGATGAGATGACAGACTTGTAGCACACCTTGAACACATCATATTAGTGTAAGGCTTGAAGGCGAGAGACCTACCTGATCACCCAGGCATACTGTACATCACAGGATAATATTAATATTCATAGATAGTTTGTGAGGTTGTGGGTTTTATTTATCTGAGGATAATGGAAAGTATCATATTCTTATGCACACGTCAACGGAACTTCGTTGCGACTTGGCATGGGGATATACAACAAAGAAATACGTACTGTCAAGTATTCCTGATTGACGTGAATAATAAAGGGTTCTGGGTTCGATGAACAGATTTACTGGACACGCACAAGTTGTAAATACAAATAATTATAAATCTGTAAAGATTACAGCGGCTGTAACATACAAAGTCATCGGCGTCTGCTTGCTCAGTCGTTGTTCGGTAACGAATCTTATCTGGTTAACACTTCAACTATTGAACTGCATTTCGATTTTTTTCGAATGACTTTCTCGATGCCTTAAACAATATCTGCCTCACGAATTCACGAATCCACTGATTTTTATAAGTACCATGCGGTCCTCACTGAAGTCACCAGGTCGAAGGGCTCCATTACGGTTTCCCATGAATCTGTTGTCTCGGAATCTTGTGTTAATTCGGGGAAACGCTTGTTCGTTTCAGCGAAAATTGTTTTAACCATTAATCGAGTAGCAATGGATTATATTCGTTTCAGCTACCATTCCGGTTTCTAGGCAATGTTCACTAAACCGTTGCCTAGCAAATGATCATACTTGGCACAATACATTGTGTGTGCATGTGTGTGTGTGTGTGTGTGTGTGTGTGAAGCAGCTTACCATGGTATAGTTGTTCGAATCGAAGAACACTCACAACGAATATGAATTCTGTGATGCCGCAAACTACTCTTGAATCACGTAATACCGACGGTGATTAAGAAGCCCCTTAGCTACCAGATAATGACCACATTGCGATGTTCTGTTTCGCAGGTGCCTCGGAACGACAGAAGAGGCGCCGGGAGTAGAGCGACCGACGAGAACGACAGCCCAGCGGCTAGTCAGGGCGTTAGCACAGTCACTGACGAGGATGACAGCCCAGCAATTGGTCAGAGGGACAACACAGTCACTGACGAGGATGACAGCCCAGCAATTGGTCAGGGGGACAACACAGTCACAGATCACGTCAACAACCCTGCGATTGGTCAGGGTGACAGCACAACCACCGACAAGGACGACAAATCAGCAATTGGTCAGGGTGACAGCCCAGCGATTGGTCAGGTCGACGACAGGACAGCGATCGGAAACGGGGACAGGCGCAGCGACAGGTATGTATACTTCTAGTGTCTGACTCGGGGTTTCAATCCATGAGGTACATCGGCTGCTCGCGTGCACTGAACTGGCACCGTGTAAGATATGGGACGTACATGAGCACTCCACAAGTTTCATATCAGAACACTGCTATATCTTGCGGATATGGACGTAAGAAGTTATTGTCATGCAGCCGAGTAAGCAGATGAAGATGAATGCATATAATACGTGTATTTCATACTCTAAAATACAGGTACATCTTCTGTTGGTCTAATTGTTATGAATGAGAGAAGCTTTTCGAAAATTTCTCTTTCTTTTTAATACTGATGCTTGCGTAGTTTAACTCAGTCACTCCATCGGACTGTCTAGGTAGTACGAGTGCAGCTAATTAGACCATAGCCACTCTGTGCTTCATAAAATAAAAGTCACCACGACAAACATTCATATAAATCTGCATAAGTAAAGCAATTATGAACTGCAACTCCCTTTACTTTCGTTCGAGTGTACAATCCTACCTGAATATTAAACCACTAGTGGGTCCAAGCCCTCTCTTTGCTCATGCCTGCTAGTTCATCAGTGAAATCGCCTGATCCATTGAATTGGAAGCGAGAGTTACATAATTCCACTTTACTTCGATCCTCCATATCTTCCATCCGTAACGCTGTTCCATCTGCCGATGTGTTTCTCAATACAACCAATTTATGATGCGCAACATTCGAGTAACCAAGTGTGACTACTTGGCAGACCACTTTGAATTATGCCACGTATCTGTTTGTTATTACTGAATTTTTCTTCCGGGGTCCAATTAGCTTCCTGAGGATAACTCAGGAGCTATTTCAAGGAAATAGCGGCTCCGGTCTAAAACACCGAGATTAACGGCCGTGAGGATCCGTTGCGCTGACCAAATGACAGCCTCTGTCCACAAAAGTTGCCACTACCTTCGCCGACAAGCGGCGGTCGCTCGGTCTGTATAGTTCGCTTGCGGACTACAGATCACGGAATTTGTTTGTTTTAGAGTTTGTTCTTTATTTACCGATACTACTTCGGTATGTAGACTGTGTAGAGTCAGATTGTAGTGTGATTGAAGAACTGGAATGACCTGGACTGAATTGGTCCAGGACTAATTCAGGAATTTGACTTGAGGGACTAAGAAGAACAACGAAACCCCACAGGCTGGACAGCTAATATCCCGGCAAAGATTCGAACATAGGGCCTTCCAAAATGAAATTTAGAACCCTGACATCCACATGTTCTATAAGATTTGGTGTTATGACTGTGTGTATAGTAGAAAGAAGCCCTAGCAATTAATTTTTTTTCCTGTGGCGCTACAGCCCCAATTTGGGCCTAGGCCTACCTCCATGAAACTCTCCGTTTCACTTCGGTTTACTAGATCTTACACATACGGTAGGACTCCTTGGGCGAGTGATCAGCTCGTCGCAAGGCCTCTACCTGTAGACAAAAACAGAAAAACGAACACAAACATCCATGCCCTGAGTGGGATTCGAACCCACGATCCCGGCTTCCGAGCGAGCGAAGACAGTGCATGCCTTAGACCGCTCGGCTACCGTGACCGGCAGCAATTAAATATACATGTACATCTACTGATTGTGTGATGAACCTCGCTTTGTGTTTACAGGAATGAAGTCAACCCAGTGATACATAACAGAGGTGACCAGTGCGATTTCTCCACCGATGCAGCTTTCATATTTCAAGAAGGAGAGAAGCACTTCTTAGTGGTATCTGTGGAGCTGATCATGACGGGCGCAGGGACAAAGAACGACGAAGCAGAAAACAAAGTGCCTGAAGAAGACAAAAACGGACAGACACTTAGTTTACATGCTTCTGAAGTCAATGAAAATGCGTCGTCATCAACAGAAGTAGGGTCCTTGAACACAAATGTAGAGCAGGTAAGGAACTGTGAGTATTTTTGTAGCTGGGAGGTTAATAGGAAAGCTGGCTGTGAGGATACAACGAAATGGATAGAATCGCCCTTGGAATATAGAGGAGTTCCGTGGAAACCTCATATACCTGTTTCCTATTGTAAAGATTTCCACCTCTTCCACTGATCTCAGTCATGGTGTAGGCTAAGGCGCGCTGTTTCCTAACAATCCAGTAAGGGTTTGTTCCTTCGTAGCCCAGAAGGGATGTTATTTGTTCGCGTTTCATCTGTGCTTGTTTTGTTCTGGAAAGGGACAACCCTCGACATGGGCCGAACAGCCCCCCTTCTCCGGGCAAGGATACTTACCAAACTTCGAGGTCCCGCGTTCAGAAACTTATTTCGAATTGCAACAGTATAGGGAAGGGGCAAAGGCAGTGTAGTTGGTTGAGGCACTATGCTACAAGCCGGAAGGTCGCGGGATCAAATCCCGATGAGGTGTATTTTTTTCAATTGATCTGATCCTTCCAGCCGCACTATGGCCCTGGGGTCGACTCAGCCTCTAACAGAAATGAGTACCAGGAATAATCTTGGGGGTAAAGAGCGGCCGAAGCGTAAGGCTTATAACTTCACCGCCATCTGTGAACCGATTGTCTAGAGAAAATTTAAGAACCTCAACATCTTACAACCCTATGGGCCTCCACGGCCTGATACAGGGACAACTTTACTTACTTTTACTGGTCAGGGAGCCTCTTCCGGAATGCTGTGGATAAAGCAGTAGAAAATATTTAAGATATAAAAACAAAATGTAAGTTAGCTTATGGGCTAGTGAGCAGGACTCGTTTCTCAGTGCTCACGTGATCAGACAGCACGCGGGTCTCACTACTCGTACTAATATTGCTTGAAACTTTGAGTGGGTTACCTGTGTTATCAACATCAACTCCATCGTCTCATTACAGACTCTGATAAAATTCTAATTAATCAAGAACCGGCTTCATTTACGTAATGCTTGCAGACTTCGTTGCGACTAGGCATGGGGACATACAACAAAGAAATACGTACTGTCATGTATTCCTGATTGACGTGAATAATAATGGGTTCTGGGTTCGATGAATAGATTTACTGGACACGCACAAGTTGTAAATACAAATAATTATAAATCTGTAAAGATTACAGCGGCTGTAACATACAAAGTCATCGGCGTCTGCTTGCTCAGTCGTTGTTCGGTAACGAATCTTATCTGGTTAACACTTCAACTATTGAACTGCATTTCGAATTTTTTCGAATGACTTTCTCGATGCCTTAAACAATGTCTGCCTCACGAATTCAGGAATCCACTGATTTTTATAAGTACCACGCGGTCCTCACTGAAGTCACCAGGTCGAAGGGCTCCATTACGGTTTCCCATGAATCTGTTGTCTCTGAATCTTGTGTTAATTCGGGGAAACGCTTGTTCGTTTCAGCGAAAATTGTTTTAACCATTAATCGAGTAGCAATGGATTATATTCGTTTCAACTACCATTCCGGTTTCTAGGCAATGTTCACTAAACCGTTGCCTAGCAAATGATCATACTTGGCACAATACATTGTGTGTGCATGTGTGTGTGTGTGTGTGTGTGTGTGTGAAGCAGCTTACCATGGTATAGTTGTTCGAATCGAAGAACACTCACAACGAATATGAATTCTGTGATGCCGCAAACTACTCTTGAATCACGTAATACCGACGGTGATTAAGAAGCCCCTTAGCTACCAGATAATGACCACATTGCGATGTTCTGTTTCGCAGGTGCCTCGGAACGACACAAGAGGCGCCGGGAGTAGAGCGACCGACGAGGATGACAGCCCAGCAATTGGTCAGGGGGACAGACCCAGCGACAGGTATGTATACTTCTAGTGTCTGACTCGGGGTTTCAATCCGTGAGGTACATCGGCTGCTCGCGTGCACTGAACTGGCACCGTGTAAGATATGGGACGTACATGAGCACTCCACAAGTTTCATATCAGAACACTGCTATATCTTGCGGATATGGACGTAAGAAATTATTGTCATGCAGCCGAGTAAGCAGATGAAGATGAATGCATATAATACGTGTATTTCATACTCTAAAATACAGGTACATCATCTGTTGGTCTAATTGTTATGAATGAGAGAAGCTTTTCGAAAATTTCTCTTTCTTTTTAATACTGATGCTTGCGTAGTTTAACTCAGTCACTCCATCGGACTGTCTAGGTAGTACGAGTGCAGCTAATTAGACCATAGCCACTCTGTGCTTCATAAAATAAAAGTCACCACGACAAACATTCATATAAATCTGCATAAGTAAAGCAATTATGAACTGCAACTCCCTTTACTTTCGTTCGAGTGTACAATCCTACCTGAATATTAAACCACTAGTGGGTCCAAGCCCTCTCTTTGCTCATGCCTGCTAGTTCATCAGTGAAATCGCCTGATCCATTGAATTGGAAGCGAGAGTTACATAATTCCACTTTACTTCGATCCTCCATATCTTCCATCTGTAACGCTGTTCCATCTGCCGATGTGTTTCTCAATACAACCAATTTATGATGCGCAACATTCGAGTAACCAAGTGTGACTACTTGGCAGACCACTTTGAATTATGCCACGTATCTGTTTGTTATTACTGAATTTTTCTTCCGGGGTCCAATTAGCTTCCTGAGGATAACTCAGGAGCTATTTCAAGGAAATAGCGGCTCCGGTCTAAAACACCGAGATTAACGGCCGTGAGGATCCGTTGCGCTGACCAAATGACAGCCTCTGTCCACAAAAGTTGGCACTACCTTCGCCGACAAGCGGCGGTCGCTCGGTCTGTATAGTTCGCTTGCGGACTACAGATCACGGAATTTGTTTGTTTTAGAGTTTGTTCTTTATTTACCGATACTACTTCGGTATGTAGACTGTGTAGAGTCAGATTGTAGTGTGATTGAAGAACTGGAATGACCTGGACTGAATTGGTCCAGGACTAATTCAGGAATTTGACTTGAGGGACTAAGAAGAACAACGAAACCCCACAGGCTGGACAGCTAATATCCCGGCAAAGATTCGAACATAGGGCCTTCCAAAATGAAATTTAGAACCCTGACATCCACATGTTCTATAAGATTTGGTGTTATGACTGTGTGTATAGTAGAAAGAAGCCCTAGCAATTAATTTTTTTTCCTGTGGCGCTACAGCCCCAATTTGGGCCTAGGCCTACCTCCATGAAACTCTCCGTTTCACTTCGGTTTACTAGATCTTACACATACGGTAGGACTCCTTGGGCGAGTGATCAGCTCGTCGCAAGGCCTCTACCTGTAGACAAAAACAGAAAAACGAACACAAACATCCATGCCCTGAGTGGGATTCGAACCCACGATCCCGGCTTCCGAGCGAGCGAAGACAGTGCATGCCTTAGACCGCTCGGCTACCGTGACCGGCAGCAATTAAATATACATGTACATCTACTGATTGTGTGATGAACCTCGCTTTGTGTTTACAGGAAAGAAGTCCACCAACCAGTGATACATAAGAGAGGTGACCAGTGCGATTTCTCCACCGATGCAGCTTTCATACTTCAAGAAGGAGAGAAGCACTTCTTAGTGGTATCTGTGGAGCTGGTCATGACGGGCGCAGGGACAAAGAACGACGAAGCAGAAAACAAAGTGCCTGAAGAAGACAAAAACGGACAGACACTTAGTTTACATGCTTCTGAAGTCAATGAAAATGCGTCGTCATCAACAGAAGTAGGGTCCTTGAACACAAATGTAGAGCAGGTAAGGAACTGTGAGTATTTTTGTAGCTGGGAGGTTAATAGGAAAGCTGGCTGTGAGGATACAACGAAATGGATAGAATCGCCCTTGGAATATAGAGGAGTTCCGTGGAAACCTCATATACCTGTTTCCTATTGTAAAGATTTCCACCTCTTCCATTGATCTCAGTCATGGTGTAGGCTAAGGCGCGCTGTTTCCTAACAATCCAGTAAGGGTTTGTTCCTTCGTAGCCCAGAAGGGATGTTATTTGTTCGCGTTTCATCTGTGCTTGTTTTGTTCTGGAAAGGGACAACCCTCGACATGGGCCGAACAGCCCCCCCTTTCCGGGCAAGGATACTTACCAAACTTCGAGGTCCCGCGTTCAGAAACTTATTTCGAATTGCAACAGTATAGGGAAGAGGCAAAGGCAGTGTAGTTGGTTGAGGCACTATGCTACAAGCCGGAAGGTCGCGGGATCAAATCCCGATGAGGTGTATTTTTTTCAATTGATCTGATCCTTCCAGCCGCACTATGGCCCTGGGGTCGACTCAGCCTCTAACAGAAATGAGTACCAGGAATAATCTTGGGGGTAAAGAGCGGCCGAAGCGTAAGGCTTATAACTTCACCGCCATCTGTGAACCGATTGTCTAGAGAAAATTTAAGAACCTCAACATCTCACAACCCTATGGGCCTCCACGGCCTGATACAGGGACAACTTTACTTACTTTTACTGGTCAGGGAGCCTCTTCCGGAATGCTGTGGAGAAAGCAATAGAAAATATTTAAGATATAACAACAAAATGTAACTTAGCTTATGGGCTAGTGAGCAGGACTCGTTTCTCAGTGCTCACGTGATCAGACAGCACGCGGGTCTCACTACTCTTACTAATATTGCCTGAAACTTTGAGTGGGTTACCTGTGTTATCAGCATCAACTTCATCGTCTCATTACAGACTCTGATAAAATTCTAATTAATCAAGAACCGGCTTCATTTACGTGATTCTTGCAGGCTACTACTTCTTGAGATTTATACCGTCGCCAATACTGTAAATGCTGGTAGGCAAATAATGTTTCGTACGCTGTATGTACTCGTGTCTGTTATCTGTCTTCCTACCAAATGTTGGATACATCGCCCAAATTAATTTTTTTTTATTTCCGTCCAGCTGAGAGCAACAACAAAATTTGCAGGTTGATATTCATCATTCTACAGCAATATAACCTCAAATAGTTGCATAAATTTTGAAAATATATTAATACACATCATTTCAACATCCTCCATGGAAGGGAGTTACTGTATCTCAAAAGATAATTCATTCGACATGCTGTAACAATCAACAATCGATATCTCGAACAGAAATGTAATTGCAGGTGGATGTACCTATATACGCGTATAGCCATAGACATATTACGATCTATTAAAACTGCTTTCTCAGTATATCATTAAGTTCAACTATACAATGATAGGAAGGCTTGTGTATATAAAGGGCACAGTTACCATCTTGTGAACTATGAAAACAGAATCTGACGAATATAATTTGTCAAAGAATGCTTCAAAATACGGCATATTTCATCTGTTGTTCCATTTATTGAATCCTTTCTCTTTAATGTCACTGCCTGCAAACGTGACAGTTTTCTGATTGTCTTCGATTGTTTCAGGGGCACATGAAACTGCGACAACAAAACAGAGCCAGACAGTTGAGGGCACTGGAAAAGAACAATAGAAGCCAAAGGAAGATCCTTAGAATCCTGACAGAAGTAAGTAGGTCTACGGCATGTAAGAACGGTACAATTCTATATGGAGGTTATAATGACTTGTCTTGATTCTTGGAAAGAGGTGAAGCGAGGTTAGGAATGCCAAGTCTTACAATTAACTGAAATATGCTACGCTATTTTGTTTACATCTTCTGTTGTTTGTTACAGAAGCACTGGTTTGTTCCATAACTATTTTTTAAATTCGCTTAGTGGGGGTGGTGTCCAACTGGGTCCACTCGGCACGGCGGCCACTGATTGGCCTATTGTAGCCTGCTTCGGGTGATTATGATGATGTAGAATTTGGTGGAATGAAGATTGGCAGGGGAAACCGAAATACTCGGAGAAAATTTTCTCCACCACAAATTCCACTTGACCAAACCCGGGATCGAACCCGGGCCGCCGTGGTGGGAAGCCAGCGACTAACCGCTTGAGCTATGGCGCGGCCTTGTTCCATAACTTACTGTGTCTGTCTTTTATTGTGAGATATTATTCTTTGTTCGATCATTGTATCTCTGAACATGAGTTTATTCTGTGGTTGGCTTTAATGTTTTCAGAGGAAAGGCGCACATCTTGAGAAGGAATTCGAGAGTCTAAGAAAAGTATACGCTCTATCCCTGAAGAAGTACATGATAATTATGAAGAAACAGAGTAGAAGAATGGAGATGCTAATTAAATGTATAAGAGCTGTAAGTACTGCCTATCAGAAGAATTTAATTTACATAATATTCTATTACATTTATCTCAGCAGCCCCAGTTTATAGAAATTGAAAATCTGAACGTCTCTTTTATATTCCTTTAAATTAGTCATCAATGTAATTGGACCAGTAGCGGCTCCTAACACGGTGGTCGGCTCTCTTGTGTTATAAAACGGGGAAACCCGTGAGAAGGCCTTCAAGAGCGACTCCTACTAAACGGGTAGCATTTTGCTTCATATTCAGAAGGTCGGGGGTTTATATCATGTGATAGAAACCGGCTAGCGTGCCTTTCTTCGGTGCTCCAGGCGCGTCCGTGGTATTTCCATGATAACGTCGGATGGCAAGTGGTAGTGAAAAATGAATTGGAGAGGATGTGGAAGGAAGTGGTTGAACCGTAATCTGTGATATTATTTCGATGTTTATCTGGAGGGAGGACTGAGAGAAACAAAGAAAACCTCAGGCACGATAGCCGATCCCCGTCTTGGAGACTCCCCGAATTAGCTGCAGGAACGCTCCTTCGGCCGCGAGTAATTCATTATTGCCTTATCATCTTACCATTCTACGCTATACAAAGTGAGACACTGGCAGCGTTGTCAGATGAACCGCAAATAAACAAAATAAATAATTAATACAGGGTGTACCAAAATGATTGGAGCAGTTTGAAGCGGCCATAACGGCTTTCGATATGCATGCAGAAGTATGTTTCCCACATGGAATGAAACAGCAGGTATTCAAGTTTTGATCGCGTGCGCAATCCCACTTCCCCCCCCTCTCTCTTTATCGGTCCGTGACGTCACAAAGATAAAATGGCGACTCCGGAGCAGAAAGCGTTTCGTGTGTTGTAGTTTGCGAAGCATGAATCAGGTGTTCCTGTTCAGCAGGCCTTCCGGCGACAATTCTAGAATGATCCCGCATCTGCCAACAGCATTAGGCGTTCGTATCAGCAGTTTGAGATAAAGGGGTGCCTTTAAAAAAGGAAAAAAAAAATTGCAGGACGTCCGTGTGTGTCAGAAGAAAGTGTGGAACGAGTGAGAGAGTCCTTTCTTCGCAGTCCGAAGAAATCTGCGAGCCTTGCGGGTCGTGAATTGGAGATGTGAACTATGAGTGTGTGGGGGGAGGGTGTTGCGGGAGACTGGAAATGAAGCCCTATCGTCTCCACTCGGTGAAATTTCTTCAGTCATTTTGGTACACGGTGTAGAGAATGTGATTGCATTTAGAGCATACAAAAACAGCAGGGAATATTGCTGTCCCACAATTTCAACATATAAAACAGGGCAAAGAAGAGTGATATGTTCTAGAATATATCGCCGTGTAGTCCTTTGAAAGTCAACCGGCGTTTCGAAGGAAAATATTGCCTCCATCCTCAGGGTCGAAGAATAAGCCAAGGGAGCTCAGTTATCCACATGCTTTCCAGTAGGTTTCTTTCTCTCCTTATTCTTCGACCTTGACGACGTAAGCGATAAGTTACTTCGAAACATCAGTTGATTTTCAAAGGACTACACTGCATTATAGTGCTCTTCATAACTATTGCTGTGGGAATCTAATTTCCTACAAAAACAGGACAAATTGTGACAAGTGTTGTGTTTGGAACGTTTCAGGACCTCCCAGATTCAGATGAGGATGATGAGTGAGAATTGTGACCGCGGGAAGATCACTGCGTTTGAGAAACTTCGGCTGTACATGCTGTACTTGCGCTGACGACGCGACACCCTCTATCCGCTGAAGTTGGTACTAACTTTACCGATAAGCGGCGGTCGCTCGGTCGCTTGCGGACTGGAACCACGGAGTTTGTTTTGTTTTAGAATAAGTTTTTCTTTTCCTTCTATAGTAAGTAAATGATTTATTGTAGGATTTATTTTTATATTATTTATCATACGATCTTGTTCAATAAAAGAATGCAAATTTACGCCTTGTGGTTTACTGTTTTCGCTTCAACACCTGAAATCATTAAAAGTTCATATTTCTGACTAACGTCTGTTTATATATAATTTTAATGTAACGTCCGTTCTTTGCCATTTCGCAATTAGTTCGTGGGAGGGCCGATGGAGACGCCACTTGACTTGTATATGCGCTGACCGCAGAATGTCATAACAGATGGCTCGGCACGTGATCTTAAAAAGAAAGATAATTTCCGTTAAATTTTCATCAGAATCCGGATTATTATTTTTAAAAAGTACTAACATTTCATCAGACGTACGCGATAGAGTAGTTGGTTGAGGCACTATGCTACAAGCCTGAAGGTCGCGGGATCGAATTCCGATGAGGTCATTGGATATTTTTTCGATTTACCTAATCCTTCCAGCCTCACTATGGCCCTGGGGTCGACTCAGCCTCTAACAGAAATGAGTACCAGGAATATTCCTGGAATATTCTTGGGGATAAAAGGAGGCCGGCGCACAGGGCTGACAACCGAACCGCCATCTATAAGCCGATTGTCTAGAAAATGTAGGAACCTCAACATCTGACAACCCTATGGGCCTCCACGGCCTGTTACAGGGATAGCTTCACTTTTTGTGTTTTACTTTTTACTAATATTTCGTTAATGTATGCATTTAAACACAATCACAAGGAACCAAAACGAAAATGCGTACACTCACTGACAAAACTGCAACAACGTGGCATGAGCAACGACTGCAGAAACCAGAACAGGAGCTGCATACCTGATTCTACAGCAGATAATACTTTTTTACTATTAATGTATCATTTTTACGGAATTACGACAATCGTGGTTCTGCAATTAGCACACTGGGTGTTTGACAACAGGGTGTTGAGGAGAATATTTGGACCGAAGAGGGGTGAAGAGACAGGAGATTGGAGAAAACTGCAAAAAAAGAGGAGCTTCATAACTTGTACTCTTCTCCAAGTATAATTAGAATGATCATGTCAAGGAGAATGAGCTGGGCAGGACATGTAACACGAATAAGGGAGAAGAAGAATGCATATAGAATATTGGTGGGAAAGCCGGAAGGAAAGAGACCACTGGGAAGACCAAGGCATAGGTGGGTGAGCAATATTAAAATCGATCTCAGAGAGATAGGATGGGATGGTATGGATTGGATTGATCTCGCTCAGGATAGGGACCGCTGGATGGCTCTTGTGAACACAGTTATGAATCTTCGGGTTCCATAAAATGCTGGGAAGTTCTTGAGTGTCTGTACGATTGGCAGCTTCTCAAGAAGGGCTCAGCTCCATGAGTGAATGAGTGATTATATTCGGCTAGATAAACTAGAAAAATTTATTACCAATCACATAACCTTCAGATCATGTTCCATGATTACCCCTTTATAACGGACACAATTCCTTAGATATTGGTTTCGACTTCGAGGGAGGAACAAATAGCTCAGTTGCCCCAAGCATTCAGAATACTGTGGGGTCCGTTGTTCGCTCCTGATTTTGTTAGGACACTTCGAAGGGTCTAAACCTTCAGTTGATGTGACTGAATACGTACACCCTACTTGAGGACTGCAGAAAATTTAGATCCAAAGATGCTGTTTTCTGGTTTTTAGAATATCAGATGACAGGAAGTTAGTAACATCCGTCTAGCTGTATGGTATAACTACCGCACAATGAAACTACGTTCCTTTATCCACAGGACACTAAATGTTTCAAATAAATTTACTGCAATTGTAACAAACGAGAAGTGAGAAACAACATGTCCTGTCACCTTAAAAAGTTCAAACTTCAAGTCTTCAATGGGTCCAACAAAACCTTAAATAAATTTATTGCAATTGTAAAAACTGCGACGTGAGAAACAACATGTCCTGTAAACTTAAAAAGTCCAAACTTCGACTTTTCAATGGATCCATCAAAACCTTATCATGTACAGTAATGTTTGACCTTGCTACACCATTACCTAACATTTAAATATTGGGCAAGTTACAATCATGTTATCAACTTCACTTAGTGGTAATCAATAAAATTATACACAGATTGGTGTATCATACAGTTGCATGTTTCCCATACAAACGTTTCCGAAGGGCACAGCTCACTTTCTCTATATTTACAATTGATAAGTCCATCTACAAAATGAACTTTCAAGTACGGGTTACGCCGTTTGAGTGTAGGAGTTTGAATTCGAGATAATCTGATATGAATCAACAATACTGAGTACTTAAAAGCGTTTATTCCAAATAATTATCTTTTTAAGAGGCTATTGTTATTTGATAGTCATTTGAGGAGTTGTGTCAGCTATTTATGTAAAGTAAAATTACCATGAGGCCTCTGGTCTGGGTCCAAAATAACAAGTTTACACTGTTTTTTTTTAATTTTTAGTTTTTGTCAGTCAGGAAATGAAAATAATGCTATTTATTTATGTGTCATTTTGGTATGTTCTTCCATCACACTACATATATTAACACGCGTAAATATACAAATTATATCTTCTCTAATTTGTATTTATTTATTTCGTTATCAATTTCTCTCTCATTCTCTCGTTTTCCTTTCTTTCTTTTTTCTTATATTCTTTCTTGTCCTTTAGGGTAAAATAAGGTAAAGCTAACCATGTAACAAGCCGTGGAGGCCCATAGGATTGTGAGACGTCGAGGCTCCCACATTTTCTAGGCAGTCGGTTCACAAATAACGGTAAGGTTTCCAGCCTCACGTACCGGCCGCCCTTAACACCCAGGAAAATTCCTGGTACTCAATTGTGTTAGAGGCTGAGTCGACCCCAGGGCCATAGTGCGGCTGGAAGGTTTAGGTCACTTGAAAAAAAAATCCAGGGATCTTATCGATAATCTGTGTTTTACTTGTATCTCCTCGTTTCTCTGCAAAATTATATCTCGTGGTTTCTTATGCACGTTAACAGAATTTAGATCCATAGTTTACACACACACACACACACACACACACACACAGCTATCTTATTAGTTGACTGCAGCAGAAGTTTGTTTTATCTTACGTATTTGTGCCTAGGAGGGAGGAGGTATTCATTCATTTTAATATCTGAGAAACCTACATATAAGAAGTTAAATTTTGGTACAAATATTATGTTTTTGGACATTGTCCATCGTCTTATCTCTATCTAAAAACGTCCTGTTTATTTATCAAAACACAACGTTTCGGAGGACTGGATACTGTCTCCGTTTTCAGGTAAAACATCCTCAGTTGGGCCGGAGATAAGGACTAGTTCTATGATTGGATCCAACTGGGTAGGTTTTACCTGAAGACGGAGACAGTATCCAGTCTCCGAAACGTTGTGTTTTGAAAAATAATCAAGACAGTTTTGAGGTAAAGACAAGAGGATGGACAATGTTCAAAAATATGTCACAAACTTTTAGATCTTGTTAATTTAACTTTTGTTGTTCTGGAACATCTTCCAGTTACCCTTACGCATCTGTCTGATAATAATAATAATAATAAATATCGGTACGTTAGTGTTTATTGTTGTCTTCATTTTGTAGATATTGTTGCGTATACGGTCCTATTTATGCCGTTACCTCTGTCGAACATTAAGATAAATTAACACATTCGAACAGTCTCTATAATTTCGTTTTATATTCTATCAAAAATTACTTACTTACTCATGCAGCTGAGCCCTCTTTGAGGAGCCGCCAATTCTGCAGTTACTCAAGAATTTCCCAGCATTTTATGGAACCCGAAGGTTCATTACCGTGTTCACAAGAGCCCTCCACTGGTCCATATCCCGAGCCACATCAATCCAATCCATACCATCACATCCTATCTCTCTAAGATCCATTTTAATATTGTCCACCCACCTAGGTCTTCGTCTTCCCAGTGGTCTCTTTCTTCCTGACTTTCCCACCAATATTCTATATGCATTTCTCATCTCCCCATTCGTGCTACATGACCTGCCCACCTCATCCTCCTTGACTTGATCATTCTAATTATACTTGGAGAAGAGTACAAGTTATGAAGCTCCTCATTATGCAGTTTTCTCCAACCTCCTGTCACTTCATCTCTCTTCGGTCCAAATATTCTCAACACCCTGTACTCAAACACCCTCAGTCTGTGTTCCTCCCTTAATGTCAGAGACCAAGTTTCACACCCATATAGAACCACAGGCAAAATTATAATTCTGCATATTCTAAATTTTATGTTTTTGGACAACAGACGTGAAGACAAAACGTTTTGGACTGAATGGTAGCAAGCATTACCCGAGTTCAATCTCCTCTTAAATTCCTCCTGAATCAGGTTAAAAAATTACCTTAATAAAATTTACATGCTTTTGATTGTCTATTATCTTCCTTTATTTTGCGACTCCTTACTAAATGTCTCCAGTGTTCTTGCCACACTCATGCCCCCCCCCCTTATTTTTAATGCCGATTATAATAAAGTGAGAGACACGTAGTTAGAATGGCCTCAGCTGGCATGACATTCATACCGAATATCTTGACAATCCGCTGATTTATATTATATTTCGGGGGGGGGGGCACAAATATGGCGAACTTTCAGTTCTTGATAACAGACTGAAGGAAATAAGATAAATAAATAAAAAGGTTAAAATTATAAAAGAAAAATAACATTTGTGTCAACTACACTGATTTATTTTTTATACAACCTACAATAACATTTTCCACATAAAATACAAAAAAATAACTTGATTGATGCTGTCACTATGGTCAGTATGAAGATTCTTGTCTTCTGAAATGCGACAACATGACGTTCAACAGAATTTCGCCAACGTTTCGGAAGTGTGTACTGCTTCCATCATCATAGTTCAAAATGTGTTAAGTAAGCAAAGAAAAAGAAACATGAAACAAGCTCCAAACTTGTTCTTTGTTTCTTGCTGACTGCTTGGCTGGCTGACTCCTCCACCCTGAAGGTGCAGGCACTGAGTTCCTCAGAAATGTCAGCGAATGACTACTAGACTACACGGGGTCACATCCCATAAAACAGGAGCCTACTCTTCACACTCACTGTGGTGAGAACTCCAAACTGACACATGCATAGAAAAACCTGATTTATTAAAATATGGGCCCTCAATGTCGCTTCTTTGTTTCTAAAATTCTCTTATTTTCCACAGTTTTCCAACTGAATAGAGTTCGTGATTCCACTTATAATTCTTTAATTTGAAGAAAAATCATGTACAATATATACAAAAATGGCCTACACAATGCCCACATGGCCCTCTGTACACTTAAAAATCTTCCCCCACTGCCCTGTTAACCCATCTATTATCATAAGCAGGTCACTGTAATGTAGCAACAGAATAAACTAATCGAAAAACGCACAATTGGCTTTCGACTTGAAAAGTTGATTACATCTTTTAAAAGAGCTATAATCAATCACATTGGCGATAAAAATAACAATATTAAATGTAAATATTGGTTATCCTTACCAAACATATTCACCGATGCCTGTAACTTTATTCTAGGCGCTAAAAACTTAGCGAATGGAAAAGTGAAAATATTGTACTATACGTAGCAGTGAAGTCCGCTTTGTAACCCTCTGAAACATGTAGATAATCTAAACAGAATCCAGTTTGTACCTCACAGAAAACACATTACGTCCCCATAACAACGACCAGCCGGTTAATGCTGTTTAGTGAACTAATCGCTGTTCACTGTGAGAACCTTACGGAACACACAGATACACTGTGTGGGCAGAATATATAGCAATTCAGTCCGTACCTCACAGGAAACACATTACGTCTCCGCTACAGAGCCCAACCGGTTAATGCTGTTTAGTGAACTAATCGCTGTTCACTGTGAGAACCTTACGGAACACACAGATACACTGTGTGGGCAGAATATATAGCAATTCAGTCCGTACCTCACAGGAAACACATTACGTCTCCGTTACAAAGCCCAACCGGTTAATGCTGTTTAAGGAAGTAATCGCTGTTTATTGTGAGAACCTTAAGGAACACACACACATATATATACACTGTATGGGCAGAATGAAGAGATTAAAGACTTTTCAAGAAGGGAATATATAGAGCAACCACTGCGATATAGAAATAAAGAAATAAATCTAAAAGAAACACAAGGTATCTTATCTTCCAGAAAAACAAATATTATAATGATTACTCTCTTCGAGAACATGGCGTTGTGTAGCCTGGTAGATCCTTATGAACGTTTCAGAAAAGCTTTCTGTCTCAGCTTTCAGGTTATAAAAATATTACGTTACTCTTTATTTTATTCTGCTTTCCTTCTTTGAAAATGGAGGCAAGAGGTTCCTTCATAATGCTGATGAGTGTAAATGAGACTACATGGCCTACCATAACCTAAAAAGTTGGACTACATGTAAAGTTCTAGTCTTGTCCCATAAGGTGCTCGGTTCGAATTTCAGCAGGAATACCGCCTGTCCTAAATAAGGTTCTCTCTCTCTCTTTTTCTTTACTTTCTTACACCAGCAAATACCGAAATAGTATCTCGAATAGATTGTTCCTTCCTGAATACTTTCCAAATCATTATTCTCAAATCATCCTGCCGTTGGATGCTGTGTAGTGTGCTGTGATCTCACATCCTGCAGGATAGCAACCTTCAGTATCATAGCCACGAGAACGTCACTTCTTACAATCGTTTTATTCTTGAATATGCAGATTTCACTGATCCTTCAAACACGACAAATGACGCAACAGCCAACAAAACTATTGTTGCTATGACAACAGGCTCATCACGCAACAGTTCAAGACCTGTAGCTTCAGCTGCGACCCCAAGCACAAATGTAAGAATCCCAATAATCGTGTGAATAAGTTTGTTATGAGAAGGCTTAATCCAATCCTTCAGTTTCGTAGCGTACAGAGTAATAAATCCTCCAGCGCAGGTGACGAAACACAAAATGGTTGCTACCAAACCAACTATGGCGTGATCTGAAACAAAATGGGAGCGGCCGCTTCTATTTTTGTTAAGTATAATTGTTACGAATCCGACAAGGTTGCAGATAGCAGCTATTATCTGGATAATCCAGTGATGGGCACGAACAGTTTTCTGTACGCTAGGATGCAAGAAGAAGAGGACGTTGTCTTTCGATAGTACCAGAATAGACTCTGCCATCAGTAGAGAGAACTGAAAGGTAAGAATTCAGATTATTAGTAAAGCAGTAGAAGCTACATTCGCGTATTTCTCTGTTTTATAGTTCACTGAATCAAGACATGTTAAGGGACTGAAAACAGAACACATACTAAACAAAATTTCGAAATATAAAACTACGTGAATCAACATGTCAACATAAAAATGCAGACTTATGAAACCATCAGAAATCTATAACCAGCTTGGCTCAAGAAAAGGGGGGGGATAGCGGATTTATATTCTTTAAAATTTTTGGTAGCTTCATAACTTGTACCCTTCTCCAAGTATAATTAGAATGATCAAGTCAAGGAGGATGAGGTGGGCAGGGCATGTAGCACGAATGGGGGAGATGAGGAATGCACATAGGGTACTGGTGGGAAAGCCAGAAGGAAGGAGACCACTGGGAAGACCAAGGCGTAGGTGGGTGGACAAAATTAAAATGGATCTTAGAGAGATATGATGGGATGGTATGGATTGGATTGATCTGGCTCAGGATAGGAACCAGTGGAGGGCTTTTGTGAACACGGTAATGAACCTTTGGGTTCCAGAAAATGCTGGGAATTTCTTGAGTAGCTTCAGATTTGGCGTCTCCTCAAATTAAAGTAAAATTATTCGTGTTCCACTGTGTGTATGTTTAAGTATAGAAAGATTAATAAACTGAGATTATGTTTATTTAATTTGTGTTTTATTCGCACGACTGATGGAGACCCCGTGATATGTAACTAATAAAACGTCAATATAATTTAAAGCTTTTCTGCCATCTTCATTGAATATAGAAAAATCTGAGTTTCTAAATAAACATAACCTCGCACTACCACTAACAATTCGAGCCAACTAAAGATCTTAAATGTGTTGTAAGAGAAAGGAGCTACTCGTTATTTTCGATGTGTGTAATCGCTGGAACATGCGGAAAATGATTTAAAACACCTTAAATTGAAAAGGTGGAGTGAAGATGTAAATAATAAGAGAAAATGGGCTATTGCCTTAAAGGTGACAAAGGTTTTCAGAGATCCACAGAGCCAAGAAGAAAATAAATAGCGAAATCAAAATATGTAAATATATGTTTAATATATTTTTCATTCAGAAACGTGACGACTTCATGTATTTGTTGTAGTTATATTAGTATTTTATTCATTGTGTGTAGTTTTGTGTGCTCTGTTTTGTTTGAGTGTGGTGTGTTATGTTGTGTGATGTGTGTTATTTGTGTGCTGTGTCTTACTGTAGTGCCACTTCCATCGGATAAAAACCCTTTTGCACTTTAAATAAATAATAATTTCGCTTATATAATGACTGAAAATATGTAGTTTTAATATAATGAAAAGAAGGAATGAGTAACAACACTCCTCAGGACCTGGGTAACTTCCATGAATGAAACTGAAGTTTCGGTGACTAAACCATGTTTGAAAGTATGTCATTAACTACAGTAGGTAGGGCCGCACCATAGCTCAAGCGGTTAGTCACTAGCTTCCCACCACGGCGGCCCGGGTTCGATCTCGGGTCTGGTGAAGTTGGATTTGTGGTGGACAAAGTGGCGCTGGGGCAGGTATTCTCCGAGTACTTCGGTTTCCCCTGCCAATCTTCATTCCACCAATTGCTCCACAATCACCCTCACATATCATCTGGGGCTGGTACAATAGGCCAGAAGTGGCCGCAGTACAAGGGACTTAGTCCCACCCCACTAGCAATAAAAAACTACAGTAGGTAACCTGAAAGGGGAAACAGTCTTGTGTCTCTGGCATGGTGGTGTTTATTGCCATTCAATGTTCAAAATAAAATGCAGTTAAGTTTGTAATCTTTGTCTAAGAATCTAAATTATTATGTGACAATGGCGCACCCTCAAGAATATTTTAGAAGCAAAATTGCAGGCCGTCGTTTCGGTAGGAATATACCCTTCATTTTCTCTTTTTTTCCAATTAAAAGTTTTAAACATAGACTTATCAGATAAGTCAGATAAATAATATCTTATAGTAAATTCATAAATTCGGGGGAAAAAAAAGGTATCTTATATTTACTTACCCCCAATGTGAAGAATGAGGGATGCCAAGAATACAATGTTGTCGTTTGAAAACTGTCATAAAATATATAAATTGTTAAGCCTACTAAAATGATCAGGCTTAGCGCAGTAGCTGTTATTCTGTATACTTTATACAGACTGCTCCCCGAGTCACCTTCTGAAGACATGTTGTTCAGGTGAGTTGTGTTATGAGCAACGCAACAAACCTCACTAACCCACTAGGCCAGTCTCTTGCTTTATATGAACTGCAGCGCGTCGAGATAACACGAGATTAGGCATACAACAGCCCTTTCTTATTTCTCCATAATAAATCGTTGTACTTAATTTGAGAATACATAGATTTATACATGAAAAATGACCATCTAAATAATATTGTGACATGACGCCTGAAATCTAGAATAGTTTGTTGCTAGGTAACAGCTCGGTAAACACATTCCCGCGGAAGAGAATGCATGCAACAATACAAGAGTGGTGTTTTCTGTGACTTATAAGTCACCCGCTTATAAGTCATATACAAACCCCTACAAGTGACAATATTTAAAAACATTAATAAAAATTCCGGAATAAGATTTCTATTGTGGCACAACGACTTCCTCCTAACTCATCTACAATTCATCATTAATCCGTTATCTGTTTCTTTATTTAATAAGTTTCGGGGACTAAATTCTGCCTCCATCTTCAGGTAAAAAATATACTCATTTGGGCCAAACTTATAGAGCTAATCGCTGTCTCACGAACATTTCACAATTTCCTTAAAATCCATTGCAAGAATTATGTAAAACGGTTTAGTATGAAATTTAGTAGTGGCATAGTATAAGAGAGCCGGTCACGGTAGCAGAGCGGTCTAAGGCATGCACTGTCTTCGCTCGCTCGGAAGCCGGGATCGTGAGTTCGAATCCCACTCAGGGTATGGATGTTTAGTTTGTGTGTGCGCGTTTTTCTGTGTTTGTGTACAGGTAGAGGCTTTGCGACGAGCTGATCACCCACCCAAGGAGTCCTACCGAACGTGTAAAATCTAGAAAAACCGAAGTAAACGGAGAAGTTCATGGAGGTAGGCCTAGGCCCACTGGGGCTGTAGTGCCAAGGGGAAAAAACAGAATAAGAGATAATGACACTATGATAATTACTAATAATAACTTAGCGCATAGAATTCAGATCTTAGATAAGAGTTTTTTTAATTAAATTGATAAGACGATTTGAATATTAGAACAATCGTCCACGAAAGAGAAATTCTGCCAGTCATTCTACAAAGGCGAACAGTTGCATCTGAAAACCAGTGACATTGAAGGATCACTTAATGCAACTGAAACACATGACAACATTTTAAAAATGATATTCCTTTTGTTTCATTCTGTTTATTTTTTTGTTGCTGATAACATGCGGGGCTCAACTAAGACTTTGATCTGCTTGTCCGCTACGAGTGAAGAAATTAGTTCCGAGAGTAGAAGATCATTTCAATTGATTCGTTAATATTTTCAGCCGTCCCTCTTCTTAGACTCCCTGGAAACCATGCGGAGTGCCTACTAAATCTAATCGCCCCTTCGTCTGTAGGCAAGAAACTCAAGAAAGGAAGAGAAGATTTTCATGAAATTCTAAATTAGATAATTTGACGAAAATAGAAAAAAAAATCTCGACATGTTTTCATATTCATGGGACAAATTTAATGGATATATATGTGCGTATCTCGCTGAATATTCATAGGAGGGGAAATTATTTCCAACAGAATCGTTAAAAATAATGTACCAAATACGAGGGAGAGTCAGTAAATTGACCAAAAATGGATACAAAATTTAAAACATGTGACGTTCGAATATGGACCCCCTCTGTGGTCTAGTGGTCAGAGTTCCTAGCTACAGATCTAGAAGTCCCGGGCTCGATTCCCGGCGCTACCAAATTTTATGAGAAATAGTGGGTTTTGGACGGGGTCCACTCAGCCTCGTGAGGATGATTGAGGAGCTAATTCAAGGAAATAGCGGCTCCGGTCTAGAAAACCGAATTTAACGGCCGCGGGGTTTCGTTGCGCTGACCACGCGACACCCTCTATCCCCTAAAGTTGGCACTAACTTCGCTGACAACCGGCGGTCGCTCGGTCGGTATAGTTCGCTTGCGGACTAAAACCACGGAGTTTGTTTTGTTTGATATTCAAATATGGGGAGGGGGGAAACATTTATTTCTCGACATATCCTCCACCAGCTGTGAAACACTGGTCCCATTGCTTTATCAGCGTTTCAAAATCTGCAGGAGAGCTGTCTTTTGAACGTTACAGCAGCTAATTTGTCATTTACAGCAATCTGTTTATAAGACACTATTAAAATTTTGTGACATAAGCGAAAATATGTAATGACTTAATATACTGGAGTTAATTTGGACCAACTTGACTAAAAATCTGAGTTGACCGAGAAATTATAGCGAAAAGTTCTCTGTATCGAATTAGAAAAAAAAAATCAGCAATTTAGGTGATAACACTAGATCACAGTTAGACAAATATAACCTTCAGTAAGCTCGTTTAAGGGCCTCCATTAAGCTTATAAACTTTATCAAGATGAGGCCAGTTGTTCTTCTGGTAAGAGATAAGAGAACGGAAACTTGAATTTCGTTTGTTTTGAAATCTGTTTCACTCCTCTTTGTAAAATGTTTGTTTTGAATACTTTACAAACGGATAGATATCAAGAAAAATATCCATCAAAATGCTCTAAAATTCATGTAGGTCATCAAGCAAAGAATCAGATCTCTCTGCTTCAATTTAGCTTAAATTGAAAATACCCTACAATTTATGGAAAAAGTCTCCCATATCGAATTATAAAATATTTGTTTAGGGATTTTGGGCCTTGATATTCGGTCACAGACGGACAGAATTATCAGTAGACATGCTGACAGGCACCGTCTTCAGACACAGCTGTCTTACTTCACAATATAATCAAGAGTAATTATGAATTTATTACGGAAAAATTTAAACTACCTGTAAATCTCATACACTACACTCTCATGTTGTCTGTTTCATGCTTGTTTTTCCCTGTCTTATTATTGTACCATGAAGATGGAGGCGAAAATTTCCTCCGAAACCTTGATTTTCTACGGTCTGTATGGCGTTCTATCCCACAAGACAGGAATCTACACCGGCTAAGTTTGTGATGAATTTAGAATGACTCACCGCGAAGTGAGATACGTGACATTTGGTACGTTTACCAAGTAATCAGATTTAAAGCGCAGGACAATGAAGGATGGACCTTAGGATAGATATTATTATCTCAGCCATTTCTATTGACTTTGATAACCAGAAGATTCCTGGTACTTATTTCTGTTAGAGGCTGAGTTGACACCAGGGCCACAGTGTGGCTGGAAGGATTAGATCAATTGAAAAATCCAATCTGGACACGAAGCGCGTCATTAAATTACATACAAATAAATCCTGTGCGATTTAAATTCATATCGTATTGTCACGTGACTGACTCTCGACGAGATTTGAATTTTGTAATCGGATTTACTGCACGCTTACAGAACGTAACTACGTATACTACGACAGTCCAACTGAGTTTCGACACTCCAAAGATGAGTATTAACTACAGCTCATATAAAGTCTTCTGTCTTCACTAACCGTTGCTTGGTAGTGGCTTAGGTATATTTTGTCACCATTTACGCTAAAATTCGAGGCAGAAGATACTTCAGTAAGGACAGTCGGTTTCCCAGTCGAGATTCGAACAACTATCTCCGGAATACTAGTTACACCGCGAAATAACAACGGACGTTACTATGCAGAGGCCCGGAAACAGCAAGAAAGTGGGGGGGGGTTCTGTGCGATCCATGCCTAGATGTTATAAGCAGGACAAGAAAAGCACTTCGAAACATGTACATGTCTAGGAGAGAATAAAAATCTTGGTTCTGGATCTCGAAGAGACTAAAGCCAGGAATGACTGTGCTGGCGAAGGCCAGCGGCAGTTTACCCGACCGTGTTCCAGTTAGAGAACCGCTGCGGTTCTGTTGTTGCCAACTGTTATGTTAGACGCTTGTAGCTGAGCCTGGGAAGAGTTCGTGAACCCAGAGGAAGGGAAATGTCCGCAGTTGGAAGCCGCTACTAAGCAACGGCTAGTCAAGATTGTAACAGCCTGAGAAGACATATCCTATATTGATTTGTAAAGTGTAGTAAGAAGTCGTATAATTGTTCAATAAGTCCGGTCATCAATCCGAAACCAATCCATAAGTCACACTAAAATCGAAATGATGCTATCTCCGCATTATTGTGCAATATTAAAGTACTCTCCTTAGTTTGAAAAAAAAAGAAGTAAAAGAGGGTTATGGAATCACGTTGCTGTCTGTCTGCCCATTTTCAATTTTACCTTTTCTTTGCTATCATTACAGCAACAAAGAAAAGTAGACAATTAGTACTTGCAAGAGATTTATTTTTAAATAGTTTAAACTGGCAAGGGAGCACGGCAAAAAAAAAAACACTGATACAACCATCTTTAAGCAGTTTAAAATATTTTATGGAATCACCCTACAGTATTGAGAACAGAAGAATAATTGTTTTATTAGGCTTTAATTGTTAGTATAAATATTATTTTCTTCCTTCTTTTTCCAATTTTCATTTTTTCAAAAAAAAAAAAAGTGTGCCGCGGAAGACAGATTTCTCGATGTTGGTGATCATCATGGTGCATATACAGGTCACATGTCATCTGAGCCCTTTGGTAAAGGTCACAACACCGCTTCTCGATCGGTAACTGCTTTAAAAACCAGAAATTAAATCGGTGAAAAAAATATTGTATACCGTTCTACACGTAGGACTGCGTTTGAACTGTGTTACCTTGGTAAAGAAATCCGATTGTTATTCGGGACACCCATTGTTGGCCGCTGGTTATACATACGGCATATCATAATGCATCATAACCTCACTTAATCCTGTAGCGATACACTTCTGACATTCTTGATTTTACAGGTTCCACGAATTTCGCGAACTATCTTTCAACTATTAAAATTAAAAACGGCCTGTGAACATTTTCTCATATCTTATCACATATTCAAAGAACGTCGACGTGTTTAACCACAAAACTTAAGTCGTAACATGATGTATCTTGTGTGAAGCTAAATAGTTTGGTTTTATCTGTGTTTTCTTTAGAATCTGAAGTAATAACAGGGGCGAAAATACAGCTTTGGACTCAAATATGCTGAATAAAAGACAGTGTCTCATCCTCAACTGCCTGGTCGAATTAGACGACATACTGTCATTAAATGGTAAGTGGCTGTTATCGAAACTTTATCTTGTATCACGCCCAGAGAATGACATTATATCGCTTTCATCTCTGTACATGCACTTAAAGAGGTGTTAGAATGATAACATTATCATGATCTGGGAAAATTAAAATGCGTTTATATGAAAATGACTTGCATTAAATCCATTCAAATTGCAATGGGGAATTGATCCTCAAAAATAACCTAACGTCACCAAAGAATTTGGAATCCTCTTCAATAATATATATGTACTAATTTACACGATTTACATGCAGGCTGTACTATGAAACTATGTCTATTACAGTACCGACAACTCAGGCATAACTGCCAGTGATGTTTATTGTTCCCATCTTCAGCTCCTCTCCGTAACTACTACAAAATCTGCCACCTTCTGCTACCAACTAATAAGTAACATACATAACGACATAACAGCATTTAAAAATAACCATGCTGTGGGTTCTGACGCTGTGTACTTTTGTAGATATTTACCGAATTTCGGAGGAGAAACCTGCCTTCATCTTCAGCGTAAAATTGTGGCCTCACTCTCCAGAATATGAGCATGAAAGTGTCATTATATCCTAAAAATTGAGGCAGGTTCTTCCATAAACGGGATGCATTTGATTAGCCGATCGCTCATTAACTTCTTAGCAAGGAGTCTGTTATGGGGAGTTCCTTCTCAGAGAATTAAAACATTTCGAAATACCCAAAACTTTTTTTAACTTTGATTCACAAGCACATCTATCTTTTATTTATTTGCACTTTTTTCGAAATGGCCCTCTCAGAACCTCAGATTACGTAGTTTTGAATGACAGGGTCATGACAAAGAAAAGGCAAATTTATCCCTGTAACAGGTAGTGGAGGCCCATAGGGTTGTGAGAGGTCGAGGCTCCCATATTTTCTAGACAATCGGCTCACAGATGGCGGCGAGGTTGTCAGCCTTACTCGCTGGTCGCCTTTTACCACCAGGAAGATTCCTGGTACTCATTTCTGTTAGAGACTGAGTCGATCTCAAGGCCTTAGTGCGGTTGGAAGGATTAGGTAAAATGAAAACATCCAATGACCTCATCGTGAATCGAACCCGCGACCTTCGGCTTATAGCAAAATGCCTGAGGTAACTACGCTATTGCATAGGACGATTGTGAGTAGTGAATTAGAAGGGATATGGAAGGAAGCTCTCATTGCTTAATTTATTATCTATGCATATTCCTAGAATTCCTGAAGAAAAACAAGAAAATCCTGCCAGGATAGCCGGTATTCCGACCGAGACTCGAACTGTGTACTTCTCGGACACATCAATTTTGCCAATACCCAGGATACTCTTAAAAAAAAAATCTCCATTTCAACTTTTACTTTTTTCGTAATTCGTTTTGTATTTCAACACACCTCCGCCTCCACATACTCCCTTAAGACGTGTAGCTTAATGCTTTCAAACCCTTTCTAACACAATGTAACGTGACATTACATAACCTAATCTAAGACCAGAATTTGGACCGAAGAGATATGAAGTGACTTGAGGTTGGAGAACACTGCATAATGAGGAGCTTCATAACTTGTACTCTTCTCCAAGTATAATTGGAATGATCAGGTCAAGGATAATGAGTTGAGCAGGGCATGTAGCAGGAATGGGGAGAAGAGGAATGCATGAGGGTTATTGGTGGGAAAGCCAGAAGGAAAGAGACCACTGGGAAGACCAAGAAGTAGGTGGGTGGGCAATATTAAGATCGATCTTAGAGAGATAGATTGAATTGATCTGGCTCAGGATAGGGACCAGTGGAAGGCTCTTGTACACACGGTAATGAACGTTCGGGATCCATGAAATGCTGTCAAGTTCTTGAGTAGCTGCAGATTTGGCGACTTCTCAAGGAGGACTCAGCTCCACGACTGAGCGAATCTAACATCAGAGAATGTACATACACTTGGTAGTATGGACAGGATTGATCAGGCACTGGAAAAACTCTGCCTTCAGTCTACTTGAACCTCGGTAGAACACATGATTTTCAAAATAACAAAATGTATTCACAATCCACAATTGACATTACGAGTATTGTAACTTGTGAACAGACATACATAATGGATGTGACAGAACCTGAACACTGGGTTAGAGATTACAAAAATTTATTAGGGTCATCGAATTGTATTGACGCAACATTAACACGTAATGGTACTTTATAATATGGTTTTGTTCGAGATAGTTTCAAACGAGGTCTCATATATCTATCCACTGAATTTTGATCAAGCTCAAAATTGAAACCAAACACGATAATATGTCTCGCTGCCTCTCGCCACCATTTTCTGGCATCTTGTCGTCTTATTTGAGCAACCATTTTGGGATTGATTCCTACAACTGGCGTGAATTCATGCTGAAAATGATTTTGATGACGTTGACAAATGGTGGAGGACCAAGTCCCTTGTTGGAAGTTTCCTGATGAGATTTTCCCTGGGCCTGTGGCCCGACGAGAGATGGAAGCTTGTGTTGGGGCTGCAATACGTTCCATTTCAACTCGTCGACTTGTGGGTCTAATTAACAATGGAGTACCGGAAGTTTGACGCTGCAGATCCGGCTTCTTCCGCTGCGGCCGTCCACTCTGGGACTTCTTGGCCTCCTTGGAACCTCCAGTTTCGCCCCCGAACAGGCCCCTTGACGCAGCTATGTTGATCATATACTTGGCGTTGAGCCGCACAACCTCCTGCGCGGTGGAAATCAACACATTTCAGAGAAAGAATGTACCTTGTCAGGTTACCTCTGTATACCAAAAGATTTTATAAACGTACGATGATATCTCTGAAACTGCACAGTTTGCTTTCACCATCGCTTACTCATGAAGCTGAGCCCTTCTTGAAGGGCCGCTAATTCTGCAGCTACTCAAGAATTTCCCAGCATTTTAGGGAACCCGAAGGCTCATTACCGTGATCACAAGAGCCCTCAACTGGTCTCTATCCTGAGCCAGATCAATTCTATCCATACATCTCTTCCTATCTCTCTAAGATCCATTTTAATATTATCCGCCTACATACGCCTTGGTCTTCCCAGTGGCCTCTTTCCTTCTGGCTTTCCCACCAGTATTCTATATGCATTCCTCGTCTCCACCATTCGTGCTACATGCCTGCCCACCTCATCGTCCTTGACTTGATCATTCTAATTATACTTGGAGAAGAGTACAAGTTATGAAGCTCCTCATTATGCAGTTTTCTCAAACCTCCCGTCACTTCATCTCTCTTCGGTCCAAATATTCTCCTCAACACCCTGTTCTTAAACACCCTCAGTCTGTGTTCCTCCCTTAATGTCAGAGACCAAGTTTCACAGACATACAGAACCAGAACTATGATTTTGCCTGTGGTTCAGTATGGGTATGAAACCTGGCTTCTGAAATTAAGGGAGGAACATAGACTGAGGGTGTCTGACAACAGGGTGTTGAGAATATTTGGACCGAAGAGAAATGAAGTGATGGGAGGCTGCAGAAAACTGCATAATGAGGAGCTTCATAACTTGAACTCTTATCCAAGTATAATTAGAATGATCAAGTCAAGGAGGATGAGATTGGCAGGGCATGTAGCACGCAAAAGGGAGAAAAGGAATGCATATAGGATATTGGCGGGAAAATCAGAAGGAAACACACTAATAGGAAGACCAAGATATAGGTGGGTGGACAATATTAAAAAGGATCTTAGAGAGATAGAATGGGGTGCTATGGACTGGATTGATGTGGCTCGGGACAGGGACCAGTGGAGGGCTCTTATGAACATGTTAATGACCCTTCGGGTTCCATAAAATGTTGGAAAGTTCTTGAGAAGCTGCACAACTGGCGGCTTCTCAAGAAGTGCTCAGCTCCATTAAGTCACTTAATTAGTAGACCACTAAACACGTTACTGCGTGGGCCTGAAACCAGTCTCGGAACTCTGCAGGACTCGAGCCACGATACCTCGATATCAGGCTATACAGACTGGGATACCCTGCTCTTTACGGAGGGGCTGGGGGCTAGATGCAGGAGCTGACCTTTCTGCGCAGATAAGCCAAGTAGCAGCCCTCCTCTTCCATAGTGACGTGAATATCTTCCTGAAGAAAGAGTCCAGGAAGGAAGCGAATCTCAAAGACGTCACATGACGGTACCTGGAAAAGTAAATGTATCACGTGACAGGCGAGGGAGACAAGGAAACACGTAGCAACGCGTGAGGAATGCCAGAAAAGGATACAAATTTTCTGGAAATATTATGAAAGCAAAATGAGATCTGAGGTTTTCATAGCGGTGATTATGTAAATCGTCGTTTTCCTGGACACTAAGATGCGCACTGGAAGGTTTCTTCTTTACAGGGCGGGTAACCAGTTACGCAGCAGGGGAAAGGAGCTAGCAAGGAAATGTCTTCACAAATTCACATTTAATACCTCTAAAATTAATGTTTTTATTAAATTAAAAAACTTTTAATTTTCGTTATTAATATTCAGTATAGGGGCACGCGGTAGCGTAGTTGGTTGAGGCACTATGCTAAAATCCGGCAGGTCGCGGGTTCGATTTCTGATGTCATTGTACTCTTCAATTTATCTAACGCTTCCAGCCACACTATGATCCTGGGGTCGACTCAGTCTCTAACAGAAATGAGTACCAGGGATCTTCCTGGAGATAAAGGTCGGCCGGAGCGTAAGGCTGACAACCTCACCGCCATTTGTGATCTGATTGTTTAGAAAACGTGGGACCCTCGACGTCTCACACCCTTATGGGCCTCCACGGCCTGTTACAGGGACAGCTTTACCTCTTATGTAACTTGCTGGGCCGTTAAGAAATTATCCCTGTGCTTAACTAATTAAGCATGACGCCATGAAGACGTATGGGTGAGTGGATGTATAGATCCACGTATTCTTGACATCGGCACTGGTTGGAGGTGAGTGGTCAGCTTCACGCCCCGACCGCTTTACCCCAGGTGAAAGAGCCTCCGGTACCCACTGGACAGGAGGTCGGGTGGGACCCAGAACCGGTTTGGACGACGTGGAAAGGAGAAAAATCTTGCCCCTACCAGGACTCGAACTCCGACCCCTCGGCTGTCCATCCCGTAGCCAGTCGCTATACCGACTGAGCGATCCCGACTCTAATGGATCGTTAAAATCCTTAAGAATGACATTACTAATGTCTAATGGTGCATTAGCAATAACAAGAACTTACTGTTACATCTGCTTCCGTGAATTTCGGTCTCTCTGGCTCTCTCATATAAATGTTCTCAATGGAAGCGACGCTGTCTGAAGGCGCCACGACGTTCTCGTCGGCTGTTTCCAATCCCTCCTCCTTCTGGGAGGCCAAGACCGTCTTGCCCAACTCCTCCGCGTGTTTCTCGTGCGCACGGCGGTTCATCTCATTAACCATTCGGTTAACCATCTCATTGTTCTCTGCGGGCACGATTGAGTGCGTCTCATACAACACAGCCTGTATCTGAAATCAGGAGATCAAAATCCCGCAGGGCCCATACCTCAAGCCTTACTTACTTACTTATGAAGCCGAGCCATTCTTGAGGAGAAGCCAATTCGGCAGCTACTGAAGAATTTCCCAGCATTTTATGGAACCCGAAAGTTCATTACCGTGTTCACAAGAGCCCTCCACTGATCCCTATCCCGAGCCAAATCAATCCAATCCATATCATCCCATCCTATATCTCTAAGATCCATTTTAATATTGTTGTCTCAAGCCACTACTTACGAATTATTCTAACGGCTTCACTTTCATGCTACTGCTATTAACCTGAGGTCTGGACATGGCGAGGCGCAAGGTCTGACGCTCTTCCTCCAGGATCGCGTCAATCCTCTTCATTCTCCAATCTTCCACCTCTGTCAGCACTTCCAGCATCGAGAGGTCTCCGCCCCGGCTGCATGCCAGATCCACAGGGTCTCTGACCCCCGAGTACGTGTTGGGTGGGGTCGCCAGGACCCCAACAACACTCTCCAGAAGGCAACTGTCGGATGGAACATCCAGGAAGCTCTCGGCGCGAACCTCAGTATTAGTCACGCCCAACATCCGAAGATACGCATCGTATTCTTCCTTCCTGTAATTACAAAAAGTCTGTGTGTTCTTAATTAGAAGTCTTGAAGGTGGTATATAGGTCGAATGGGGGGGAGGATACAGGCATCTCCCTTTCTGGATTTTCGAAACCATGTAGTTCCTCTTTAAAATCTCTTGCAGTGGGTTGGGACTGAGTCCACTAGGTACGTCGGCCACTGTTTGGCCTTTTGTACCAGCCCCGGATGATAGATAATGAGTGTGAGGCAGTCGCTGGAATGAGAACTGGCAGGGGAAACCTAAGTACTCGGAGAGAACATGCCCTAGTGACACTTTGTCCACCACAAACCCCACATGACTTTATCTGGGCTCGAATCCAGGCCGTCATAGTGGGACGCCTGCGATTAATCGTTTGAGCTATGGCACAGTTTTCGGGGGAAGAACGAAACATAGGAAATATTAATACCAAAAATCAAAATTGATTGAGTATTCTTCCACAACGCCTACTCTAGATCGGTAGGTAAATTTTGTCCCAAATATTTAAATGTATTTCTGGCTGACTTCCCCCCACCCCCTCACCCATCCCAGCCCCATGAAAATGTTCTGTAGGAGGCCACACAAACAGGTGAATGTGGTCGTCAAAAGTTTGAGTTTCACAGGTTTCATCTCCAAATGAGAAACGCTGCTACCTCGCAACTGAGACCCCTCTAAGTGTAGCCATTTTGTTTGAATCCTGAGATAACTGTAAATGTATTTACAGTCTTTTCACCAATAATCATCATTGGCGATACAGTCCTCTTTGACCACAGCCTTTCTTAGAAGGTTCTGTCAGACTGCAATGGGCATTCATTTTTTTGTTTTTATCAAAAGTAATTTTTTTTTTACTACGACTCGCAAGATCACGGTGGAAGTATTCGACCCCGCCTCCACACGGGAGCCTTTTACAAATTCTGACGTTTATTTTCAACACATAGAGTTACTTGACAAATAAAGCGGCCTCCGTAGTCTAGAGGTAACGTTCCCACCTCATGACTCGTGGTACGCGGGTTCAAATACCCGGCGGAGGTCGTCGAATTTTTAAGGGCGGAAAAATTCAGGGAACAAGTCCTCCGGGAGGGACTTTAAGCTGTGTGTTCCGTGTCGTAACTTTACGGCACGTAAAAGAACCTCATATCCCCAAATGGGATCATTGAGCCAAATTCCAGGACGTTTCCCGCCCAACAATAGTCTCTAAGGCCTCTGATAGATGGGGGAAGCATTATAGACACCGCTAAGCAAGTGGCCGAACTCGCTTGCTCGGCGGGACTGATGGTAAGCACCATTTATCTGTAGGGTAAAGAGACTGGTAGAATATCATAGAGGGAAGCACAATAGATCAAACTGGTCGCCGTGCATGGGGAAACCCACCCTCTCTAAATAACTAACTACTTGCCAAATAAATCAATACTCAGTCATACAATTTCTTCTTGGGCAACCAGCCGCGTCAATTCGGTGTAAAATTCCAATGATTCTGTCTCGTTCATCGGGGACGGTCTCCGAAAAATTGAACGTCTGCTCCAGAATGATGCAGTTGGCCTCGAGCGAGGACTGTAATGCTTTTCGTGACGTTGTCAAGGCTCACCCTCACCTTTGTCCTGCACCGAAAGCAATCAGAGTCTTAATCTTCTCGTTGTCGGAGAGGATGTTCGCAAGATACGCCGTGGTGCGGGGAGAAACTACATGAGTCTGGACCAGTCTTCCCGCGAGATCCAGGTCATGCACTATCTTGCACATGACAGCTGGCCCAAAGCAGAACGCTCGGTCCTGAAATGACAGTGTCTCTACAGTTTCAGCTTTATATTTATTGATACTTGCTTCTAAGTTCAGTGATTTGTTGCTTTTTGTTGTGACACTCAGGTATTCATAGCGATCACTCAGCGAAATACTAACTTCTCACTCGCTCATGGAGCTGAGCCCTTCTTGACGAGCCGCCAATTCTACAGGTATTCAAGAACTTCCCAGCATTTTATGAAACCCGAAAGTTCATTACCGTGTTCACAAGAGCCATAAAATGCTCCCTATCCTGAGCCAGATAGATAATTTCAATACCATCCTATCCTATCTCTCTTAAGATTCATTTTAATATTGTTCACCCACCTACGTCTTGGTCTTCCCAGTGGTCTCTTTCCATCTGGCTTTCCCACCAATATCCTATACCCATTCCTCCTCTCCCTCATCCGTGCTACATGTCCTGTCCATCTCATTCTCTTGACTTGATCATTCTAATTATACTCGGGGAAGTGTACAATTTATGAAGCTCCTTATTAAATACTAACTTCTGAAATCTTAATATCTTGTACTTGTCTGACGGTTACTTCACCTTGCTGTCAGTACCTAACCGCTTTAGTGTCGTATGGTTTGATGAATATTATTAATAAATTGCGAAGGATAAGGAAGGATCTGGCCATGATTTATTTCAAGATGCTATCCCAGAATTTTGCAAGAGGGCCTGAGGAAAGCCGTTAAAATTTTCGGTCAGGATAGTCGATGTCCTGGCTGAGATTCGAACTTAGAACATCCAGAATACGAGTATAGAGCGTTACTGCTATGCTAAACCGATCGATGTATATGTGTCCAATCAGATGCTTTCATTAAATCGATAAAATTGTATTTGACCTTCATGTGAAGAATGGCTGCCCAATACGAACCAACCTGCATTCTTACCAACATCTGCAAGTGTATGTATCAAACATAAAACGCAAATGAATTCGCAACATAAATAAAAAAAAATTACTACTCCGTCCACTGTAGCTTAATTGGGAAAACTGTGTGTTTTATGTTGGTACTACACCGAGAACTTCTCCCTCCAGAGAGACAGGGAGCAACCAATAAGATTACAAGTTCTCTCAGGCAAAATGGTCAGACTTTACAGTTGGTCACTATGGTAAACTGAAGCTGCGCAGAGACAACCACATAGCACAAGTCTACAACAATATATATATATATATATATACATATACATACACACACACACACAAGTTTTCAAGACCATGTCCCACTATATAATCCCCTTCCTTTGAACTTCTTAAGTGTATACTTTTTTCAATCTTATTAGTATTGTGACATGTAGACCCATTGCCAAATAACAGTTGCATAAACAGACAACAGTATAACAGCTGTTCCTAGGGAAAAGCTCTGTGAACACGTTGTTACCCCAGCAACGAAAGAACACGCAATAATGAAAGATATGTTCTCTGTGCGGTCAGTGCCACGAATATATAACGAGATGCAGTGGCGAGAAGCTGGTAGCTGAGGCCGCGGACAGTTCGTGAACCCAAAGGAAGGGGAACGACCGCTGTTGGAAGCCGCTACTAAGCAACGGCTAGTGAAGACTGAGAAGAATTCATGTGTGAAGTTGTTACAGTGATATTTGGAGTGTCGTAGTTACGGGTACAAATGTCCAATAAATGTAGTTACCAACCCAAATCTCCTCTCTAGTCATTCGATCAAGTGAGAGCATCGTCAGATGCAAGGAGTAGCAACAAATACCTGGAGCACGATGAGGTTCCTTTTCACAAGAGCTGACTGCGCGAGATCTGACCGATGAGTGGGATGAGACTTAATTAATTTCGGGCACCAATCATCAAGCACGTAGCTCAGTGCGTCGGGTTTCAGCTCCTTTGAATCCAGACGCTTGAGACCAGCCTTCTCCAGCAGATGTGTGACTTCATCCATACTACACGGCACAAATTTGAAAAGTATTCAGAATTCTGGGCACAGTAACCTTTCAGCCACAACTTGACCAACCATAAAAAAGAACTTAGGACTGATTTTACCTTCTGAGTGGGAGCCCAACTGCAAACAGACTTAGCTGGTCAGTTATTTAGCTGCTTTGTCTGTTGGTTTTATTTATTTTAATTTATGTGATGAGTTGAGACTGAGTCCACTTGGTACGAGGCCTCTATTTGTTCTCACGTACACATGAGTGTGAGTGTCAGGTATAGATGGAATGAAAATTGGTAGGGTAAACCGAAGTATTCTGAAGAGAAAACTGCTCCAGTGACACTTCGTTCACTACAAATCCCAAATATCCTGACTTGGGATTTAACTTTTGCCTTCCACAATAGGAAGCTCGATTTTAACTATGTAAGACGAGTTCAATGCCAAATTTCTGGCGGTTTGTGACTGGTTTTCCACTGCGGCTGCCCGAATTCGATCCAAGGTCAAGTAATGTGGGATTTATGGTGGACAAAGTGTAACTGAGGCAGGTTTTCGCCGAATACTTCGGTTTCCCCTGCCAATTCTCATTTCAACTACTGTTCCACACTCATCATCTTCTATTATCCGAGACTGGTAAATTGGCCAAACATTGGATTACGTAACAAGTGGGCTCAGTCGCACCCCACGTTGCTTGAAAGCAAACTCACTCGATCTTGAAGGTGTTGATCCAGGCAGCGACAGGAAGTTCGTCTAGGGCTGCCACATGGGAGTCCCTGAGGTGTGGGGGTAGAAGTTTTGAAAGGCTAAGAGCCTTGTTCTTTATGCGTAGCCTGGATAATGAAGCAGCCAGCTTAACCCTTACGTCCCACAAACACGTTTCCGCTTCTTGAAGGCCTGCTTCTTCGAATAACTGAGCCCGCAGAGGCTCGTCGTGGTTTTCGCGAGGTAGAAACCGTCTTTTGTACAAATCGTAGAACAGTAGCGACACCAGACACGGTTGCTTCTGGAACTATCAGACACAAAAGGGCCTGAGGTTCTCGCAGTGGTAATTATGAAGAGTTGTATCTTCTGGGATATAACGCCGTATAGTCCGTTAGAAGTCAACCAAAGTTTCGGAGGAAAATATCACCTCCATCTTCAGGATCGAAGAATAAGATAGTCAAGAAACCAACGTGAAAGCAGTTGGCAAGAAGAGACGGAGATTGTTAACTATTTAGATTATACAGCATCAGTGATAAAAATATTAATGAATTTGAAATAAGTTGGTGGAATGAGAATTGGAAAAAGACACCGAAGTATTTGGAAAATATCAGCCTCAGTACCATTTTGTTCACCATAAATCCCGCATGACCTGACTTCGAATCGAAACTGGGACATCCAACAACTAACCGCTTGAGCTATAACGAGTCCAAAATATTCGTTGATCAACAGATGAATTTATATTAATTAACTAATTTATTAAAATTCACTTATTATATTTCAGCATCCCGTTGTGTTGGGCCATTATCCTTATTGTCAAAGCGCCCGTCAATAATGCAACAATATTTTTTTTTTAATATAAAAGTGAATAGTGCAGTGGTCTCCCCGAAAACAAAAAGAAATTACCTGATAATGGCCCATGTGCGGCCGAAACATGTAAAGTGAGAAGAAACATGTGTAAAACTAGAGACATTTTAAAAATTTGATTATCACTTTTAGTGTCTTAATGATATTTTATGATTTTAACAACATCGTAAAGTATTAAAGTGGCACTTTTACTTGTATTTTATATTTTACAAAAGATATTGACGGGTGTTTTGATAATATGGAAAAAATAACAATTAGTTTCTCAACAATGACTTTGCTCAATGGAATTGGTCATTAAAATTATATTTATTTTACCTGTGGATACTTGAGGAAGAAGGCTGTCTGTATCAAGGCTTGGTTCAAAACAGATTTATCTGGAAGGAAAAATATTTCATATAAATGTCAGTTACTTGTACATCACCTAGTGTTTTGCTCAGATATTTGTAGTATCGAACCGAGAGATAGATCTCTTTCTGGGAAATCCTGAACAGACAAGCTTACACTTCTTACTCGTAGAATTCGGTTTAGAGACGACTGCATGACACACCCTTCTGCCATTAAAAAAAAATAATAAGTTACAATGTAAGAAACAAGTAAAGCTATAATTGTAACAATTTCTTAATTTCTTAACAGATAATGGCAACCAGGATCACCACATCGCAGATATTTTTAAAGAAACAGATATTTTTCCGGTAAGGTTGCTTGCTCGAGATATCACGTACTTTCTAAGCAGTTTTAGACATACATTAAAACAAAGCATGTATATAAACTGTGGGCACGCGGTAGCGTATTTGGTTGAGGTACTATGCTACAACCCAGAAGGTCACGGGTTCCACTCCCGATTAAATGATTGGAATTTTTAACTGACCTGATCCTTCCAGCCGCACTATGGCCCTGGGGTCGACTCAGACTCTAGCAGAAATGAGTACCAGGAATATTCCTGGGGGTAAAAGGCAGCCGGCGCGTAGGGCTAACAACCTCACCGCCATCTGTGAGCCGATTGTCTAGAAAATGTGTGGGATCTGTTACAGGGATAGCTTTACTTCCTTTTTCACCTTTTTGTATATACACTCTTGTCGTTATAAAACTCTCTTACCGGATGGTTCTGTGTAAACTCTGAAGGCCGTTTGTGGTTGCATGTAAACTGCATCAGAGAATGTAATTAGACCAAAACTGCAACCACACAATGCTTTACTGAAATACACACAAACCATACCATCCGTGCGCTATCATGCAAGAAATCTTCGCATGTTTCGAGTTGGAGCAGTCTGATTTGCATAGCATGCACAGGTTGAGCTTTCATAGCACTGCATATTAGTCTATACACACGCAGTCTAGAGGCGTGAAGAACCTGATTTATTTCTTGGAGGGTTCTGTGATTACAGGGCAGATTTACAGACTGTAGAACCTTCCGTGCTTCACCACTTCAACTTCCTCCACGTCATCAACAAGAAATTACATAAAGGCCCTCAACAATTTGACATCTAACCCTTAAACAAATAACACTTGAACATTCAGTTCGTACCTCAGAGGAAACACACAACATCCCCATTACAGAAATAAAACTGTTAATACTCTTCAGGTAAATATTTGTTTACTGCGAGAATCACAAATAAAACCCATTTCGTGGGTAAAACGCAGAGTTTTTAAAGCAGATGATGCCTGTATTAACCGCTGTGATACAAGGGAACTTCTACGCGCATGCGCTATGAGAGGAAAGCTTGCGGTACCTACTGTAAGATACGAAGTAAAAGCAAATTTTTCCCTGTGATTAAATAATTATGCACCACGCCATGAAGATGTATGGGAGAGTGGAAGTATGGCTCCACCATTCTTGACCTCGGCACTAGTTGAAGGTGAGTAGTCAGCCTTAAGCCTCGGCCGCTTTACCAGCGAGGAAAGAGCTTCCTGTATCCACTGGATAGGAAGTTGGGTGTGCACCAGAGCCGGTCTGGACTCTGCAAAGAAGAGGCAAGTTACTGCCTCTGCGCCGAATCGAACCTAGTTTCCACGGTCGTCCAGCCCGTAGATCGTTGATGTACTAAGACATCCGGACAAATAAATAGGTAGGAGTATAATATTAAAATTAATCTGATAGGAACATGGTAATGAACCTCCGTCTTCCATAAAGTACGGAGAATTTCTTGGCTACGCGGTGTCTAAAATCGCGTCATCATGAAATTATTAAGGATACTTTTGTGTCATCACTAAAAGATACCAGAACCTATTTTCAGCGGAGGTTGGGAACTGGAATTGTCACACCGGAGATCTTGTTTAACGCTACGTCCATATTGTTGCCTGCTACGGACACTGGGCTGCGTCATCACCAGTTAGTGAAGTAGAACTTCACGTCATCAACACATATTTACTATATTGCATTTTCGATGCACTTCGGTATTCATACGCCTATGGGAAATTCAAACATATTTAAAAATGAATTTTCTTCCGTAAGGTTGTCTGCACAAAGTATAACGCACCCTGATTCACAGAGCACATGGGCTTTACGATGTACCCTCAAAGATGTGTGTACCAGACAATATCAACTTCTCGAGTACGACTCTGCTAGATTCAAAAAGGTAAAGCTATCCCTGTAACAGGCCGTGGAGGCCCATAGGTTCCGACCGCCCTTTAACTCCAGGAATATTCCTGGTACTCATTTCTGTTAGAAGCTGAGTCGACCCCAGGGCCACAGTGCGGCTGGAAGGGTTATGTCAATTGAAAAAGCAAATGATCTCATCGGGAATGGAACCAGCGGCCTTCCGGCTTGTAGCGTAGTGCCTCAAGGAACTACGCTACCACTGCCCCCTCTGCTAAGTGTCATTAGTCAGGGAAGGTTACATCTGAAGACGTCATAAATGATGGAATAGACACGTCTCATTTCTTCTTCGTCCTCGAAACGGAGAGGTCGCGGGAGGACGGTGAGCAGATGTGCAGCCTTGGCTATATCGGACACGGTCCATGTGGTCTCCATAGACAGGGTCGACGACAGGGACAATCCCGAGTCTAGTGAGGATGAAGACCGACGGGGTTTCTTCGCCTGTGGTTGGGACGACGAAGTGGGCTCTCCTTCCATCCTCTCCGGCGTCACACACGTCGTCCTGTTGGCCAATAAAACTTTCTTCCATTTGCGGTTTATCTACATGACTTACTCACTCACTCACGGAGCTGAACCCTTCTTGAGAAGCCGCCAATTCTGCAGCTACTGAAGAATTTCCCAGCATTTTATGGAACCTGAAGGTTCATCACCGTGTTCACAAGGGCCCTCCACTGGTCCCTACCCTGAGCCAGATTTATCCAATCCATACCATCCCATCCTATCTCCCTAAGATCGATCCCAGTATTGTCCACCCACATACGCCTTGGTCTTCCCAGTGGTCTCTTTCCTTCTGGCTTCCCCACCAATATCCTATACGCATTCCTCGTCTCCGGTTTATCTACATGAACATATTTAAAATTAGGGTTTTGCGCACTTTCGTTCACCCCGCAAAAAATGTTATATTTGGCAACTTTTGAACGCACCAGGGTCTAGTAGGAATAGATGTCATAAATCTTCAACTTTAGAGACCTTGACAAAGTTATTTTCGTCACGAGAAAAAAATACAAGATGTTTCATGTTTCCGGTTTGTTGTCAGTTTCACTTCGGGTTACACGGCATTTAGCGTACAGAAAACGTTAAAAGTGGTTTTTAAGACAAAATTGGACTTGTCTTTCACGCTGATGAATGTCAGAAGAGAGATAAAAACTTTACTTTTGCCTGTAGATTTTGCGAGTTTCGGAGGTTCCTTTCCGGGCAAAACGTAATTATAATTGCGTTGAAACGTCAGCCCCACATTTCAAGGTTGATGCCTGCTTTGATCACTTCGAGTGCATGTATCCTGACTCATATATGTAGCTCCAAAACAAAACGGCCGGATGGCTTGCAAGAAGCAAAAATAATTGCTGTGAAAATCTTTTGAGGCTCTCTTTATGCTTCTGTCCGTTCCATGTCATTTTCTCACGTACGGTCATCCATCTTCCAAATTTTGACACCAGACAGTCTTTTGTTTCCCAGCAATCGATGGTTTGTCAACTCTATCGCTACGGGCTAAACTGATCTATAAAGAGACTTCTAAAACGCGCCTAAGAATTCCCAACAATTTTGATATGACGAATTTTATCTACTAATTAAACTTGTCCTAATGATTAACTAATTAAGCATTACGCCACGAAGGTGTATGGAGGAGTGGATGTATAAATCCACATTTTCTTGACTCCGGCATTAGTTGGAGATGAGTGGTCAGTTTCACGCCCCGGCTGTTTTACCCACATTGAAAGAGCCCCTGGTGCCATTGGATAGGAGGTTGGGTGGACCCCATAACCGGTCTGGACGACGTGGAGAAGAAAAAATTCTTAACCCTACCGGGACTCGAGCTCCGACTCCTCGGTCGTCCAGCCAGTAGAAAGTCGTTATACTGACTATACTATCCCGGGCTCCCAATAATTGCATTATTGTGTAATTCAATCTGCAGAAAATGTTATGACTAAAGAACCACGTGAAGAAAGAACAATTATCTACACTTCCATTTTTCCATTTATACTGGAATTCTTAGCATACTTTGCTTCGTCATGGGGGGAGGGGGAACTTATGAGATCAGCCTTCTGCATCTGTCTTTCCTGTTTCAACTTTCGAACTGACTCAACAATTCTCATGAAACCTGATAAGGAAAGTATGCCATTACACGTCATAAAAACATTTTATTTTATAATTTCCTATAACCGATAAAGACAACATGGCGGAGGCACAAAATTGCGAGGTGGAAGCAACACTAGCGCCATTTAATTCAGCATCTTGAAACTTTTATTAACCTACCAGTGACAAGTGTAAGAAACTTCTACTTTTATGAGTTTATACAAGACAGCAAGTGGCATCTATTGGGAACTTATCAGTACTATATAGCTAGGAACTACTTGGAAAAAATTTTCCACATATTGTAATTTTGGGGGCATATCTAGAAATATTATTTATCCATGAAGACAGAGCAGCTCTAACGATCCAAAATGGCGGCTTGGCACCGCAGGAATAAAATCCGAAATTTCTAGATTAAAGCAATTTTCTATGTATGATGTAAAATTACAACATGATGGTCGTGCGAAAATATTCTTTGGCTTTCGGTTTTAGCATCTTAACTAATGACCCACTGGAGCTAAGCACTGGGAATTTTGTGTGAAGATCATAAAAATTAGTATACATGACGTATGAAGTTCGGTGTGACGTCAACAATCACAAACATGGCTAGAATGAGAAACTTTGAGGTTATGTCCGACAATTTTAACGTACATAGAATCAAATATGGAGGAAGGCTCCATGAGTAAAAGTGATATTGTCCTTGCAATTCATTAATCATCATGCCATGAAGACGTGGTGGAGTTGAATCATAAGTCCATGCACTTTAACCTCGGTACAAGACGGAAGTTGCGACGGGCTGATCACTCGTCCAAAGAGTCATATCATCTGTGTAAAAAAGATTACAAAACTGAAGAAAAGGTCAGGGCCCAACAAGGGGTTGTAGAGCTATTGATGAATTAAATAATTAATTAATGAACTAGATAGAGGTGAGTGGTGAGTATCACGCTCCAACAACTTTACCCTCCTGAAAAATATCTCAAAGTATCCACTGGATAGGACGTTGGATCAGTTCAAGGGCCTGTCTGCGAGCTGTGAGAAGAGATAAATCTCTTTAAAATTACAGGGCTGCTTGTCAGTAATAGAATGAAGGAGATAGCTCGCTACAATCAATCAAAGAGTATCAAGTCGTGTCAAAATATGACACGTTATCATAATTTCATTTTTGCATGGTTTAGCTTCGGAATGAACCAAATTTGGATATTACAGGATGACCAGGAGAGACAGAGACAGACTATGTTCCGAGTGGCAGTGATGGGCTCCAGCCGTGGTTAGAAACCGAAAAATATTTGATAGAGTCACGCTATGCTGCGTAGTTCATCCTGAATCAGTAACTTTCGGGGTTGTGGGGTTGTGAGGGGGATTTGGTTAACTGCGCAACCACATAGGAAAATGGCAACATCCGAAAAATGGATGATCGACCTTGTTCTAACTAAAAACATTAGTTCAAATCTAGCCAGTTACATGACAAAACCTCATTTCGTGGTACGATATGTTCTATTCGCTACAAAATTAGGCGTAATTTACAGATTTTTTGTTATTTGAGGATGCTTTCAGTAGCTTCATTGCATACTGTCAAATGGATGGATGACAGATGAATAAATGATTTGGAAAAAAAAACAATCTTGAATTAATCAAGGTACTATCCCAGTATTTTCCTTGATGAACCGAGGACGACTACGACAAACTCCGTGGCCTGTATTCTGCAAGCGAACTATACCGACCGAGAAACCGCCGCTTGTCGGCGAAGTTAGTGCCAAATTTTGCAGATAGAGGGTGTCGCGTGGTCAGAGCAACGGATCCCCATGGTCGTTAATCTCGGTTTTCTAGACTCGAGCCGCTATTTCCTTGAAATAACTTCTCAGTTAACCTCACGAGGCTGAGTGGATCCCGTTCCAGACCCACTACTTCTCAGAAAATCTTGTAGGGCCGCGAATCGAACCCGAAACATTTGGATATGTAGCCAGGAACGCTGACCGTTAGACCACAGAGTCAATGTCTCCTCCGCGTCTCGAACTTAACACCTCATGAATATGAGTATAGGTAGTTACCAATATTCCAGTTCACTGTGTATATATTCAAGGTTAGATTTAAAGGTTAATTACGGTGAAATGTTGAAATTAACCGTAGAACACACTTCTAACCTCGTGGCGATATTTTGGTTCGTGCTAATACGCAACTCATGTCAAGAGCTTGGGTAGATTCACCTTAATTCTGGCATTTAAATTGGTTTGAACATCGGTCATAAACTGGGATTTATTCGCTTATATTCAGTAACGCAAAAATCTTGAATAACTGTAAACTTGATCCGAAATGCAAAACGAAATTATCTGATATACAGCCATTATACACGTTCCTCGTTGTTCGATTCTTCGAATTGTAGACCAAATTATTATTTTTTACTTAATGTATGCTATATGTTGTTGAAATGTTGAATCCGATGTATAACGCCATCTCTCCCGCATAATACACACAAATAATCAATTGTAAACCATTTCCTTCACTTCACATAGCCGCATCGTAATATAATCAACACTCACAAAATAGGCACGATACACTGAAATAGAAGACAGTTATCTCACTCGTAACCTACAATGTAACGTAGGTGCATGTAACGTGTTAAGTCTGAAAAATTCATTGCTATCGTTACGCCAAAATGTAATAAACACGATAAATTTCACAATTACAAGACACTTTTTATATGGGACCAGAATATATCACTAATGTAATCAAAGGTTTCACTTATCAGACAAATTTATGTCTACCAAAATACCTTACTGCAACATTTACATGCTACTAAACAAACACTATTTTCTTTATTGCTAGTGGGGTGGGACTAAGTCCCTTGTACTGCGGCCACTTCTGGCCTATTGTACCAGCCCCAGATGATAGGTGAGGGTGATTGTGGAGCAACTGGTGGAATGAAGATTGGCAGGGGAAACGGAAGTACTCGGAGAAAACCTGCCCCAGGGCCACTTTGTCCACCACAAATCCCACTTGACCAGACCCGGGATCGAACCCGGGCCGCCGCGGTGGGAAACTAGCGACTAACAGCTTGAGCTATGGCGCGGCCAAAACAAAGACTAAGTCAGATATTGCAGAGCAAAGCATTGGGCGTAATATACCCTGAACGCCTGAAGAAAAAGTGGACAGACAAAATAATTTCGGAATGGACATTTTTGTTGCAATGGATATTGATAGATTTACGCGAAGGAAAGCGTGTAGATTTTCATGTGAATTTTCCGTAGTCTTTGCCAGTTATCTCCGATGTCCGCTATAACCGAGTTAAGAGGGATTCACGAAAGTACACCATAAGATGCACAGCCAGTACACGCAACAGACATAGAAACAGAATATGATTATATACGTAAATGGTTTTATATTTTTTATTTTAAATAGTTTTCTAGATATAAAATCTTCTTAGTGCTTCAACATCTCTAAAAGTTCACAATTTTATACAGCAAGATTTTGTCCGTTATATCGTTAATCCGTTATAACGTAGATTTACTGTATAATTGAAACGCGTTTATTGTAGTGAAATTATCAAATACAAAATTTCGTGAAAATGAGTTCATGTGTTCTCGCCTGTTTCGTGTGTACAGACGGACAATGATCGCCGTGACTGAAAAACACGTCTAAAAAAAATGCAGCATAAATTATGGGAGGTGTGTCAATAAATTTTAACTTTAATTCAAATTATTTCCAACTATATGAAAATAATTTTCTCTATTTAATTTGAAGCTTCAATCACATTGCTTTATACCGAACGAAATCTTAATTAACACTTACGGATTTGCATCCATTTCTCGTTGCTGTTCCACTAATTTGAAGTAATTCTTCATCCTCCAATCTTTATTGCTTGGTAAAAGTATATCACACGAAATACTGTATGTGTCCATTTGAGGACTTTAAAGTAAATACACAAACACAGAATATATAAAATAAATCCTATGACTTATATGTATTGCATCCCTGAATCATAATAAATAACCCATAATATCATCCGAACTATATTTCAGTTTGGGTAGCATATTGTTCTAAGTAGATCCGGACGTCTCAGTAAACACATCGACACAGCCCCCACGGTAGTCAGCACGAGAATGTTCGTTTCGTAAAACTGTCGCAAGATCAGCTGAGTCTGCGTTCGCTTTTATATATAATAAACATTCTGCTTATCCGCTTTGACT